TGGGTACTGTCTGCCACGGTGGCCCCCCCGTGTCAAGGGCTCCTTTTTACTGCGCTGACACCACGTCCAGGCTGGTGAGGGGTTGTGCTGCTGGAGGGCATCTCCTCTGAGACGCCTGGGGTCTTAGGGTACAGACTGCTCTCCTGCTTTTTTAACATCCTCCCTGCCTTTCGCACGGTTCGTGTCTTTCTACGTGCGCAGGACAGACTGGAACGGTTTATACGGTTCCATATGGCTCTTTGAACCCATATAAGAGGAATAAATAACATGTTCAGTTTTGCGATGAAGAAAGAGGGAGGAGGCTAAGCCTTTGGGTTATTATTTTATCCCATTTTTACTTTCCCCACAGGAAAAACTGCTTGATGACACTAGCTAGCAGCTGGCCTCCTAGTGATTCATAAATAACCCTCATTCATTCATCTTACTAATTAAAAGAAGAACCAAGTAAATGGCAAAACACCGTGTCTCAAAGCGACACATTCAGCCAATATATGCTACTTGGCTTTGTCTGGTGGCTTGTTTTCTCCTCATGTTGTGTCTTAATCACACTCGGGCCTTACACCACACACAGGTATACAGGCATAATTCTTTTTCCTTCTGAATCATCTCGTGATCTTATAAGCAAAGTTATGAATCTCTTCACAATATTGCATCTCAGTACTCCCAGGTTTAGTCATAGATTGGATAATAGCAAAGCTAAGGCATAATGCAAAGCAATAATGGAATATAATACAACTGGCTGACAGCAGGCCAAAACACCACGCTCATTTTTCTAGCATATCTGTGTGGAAACTTCCACATTGGCTCCTTTTATGATAATTGAAAGAGAAGGACGTGAAACTGTATTACCAATTTCATGCTTTCCCATTTCTGTGTGGCTCCCTGTCTAATCTGACTTCAGCCTTTCTTGACATGTGGAGTAGATATCGCTTTTCATTTACAGTATCATTTTCCTTGAGGAAAAGCTTGATCTCAACAAGATTCCGCAGTTTATTATTGCCTGGGCCTGTGGAGCTGGTCTCCAGTTCATATTGACCTGTGCATGGGAATATTTTAATTTATTTTTTTTAAATATAATAATTCCTCAGGTTATTGAGAAGAAGTCATAGAGGAGCTGCCAATCAAGAGCTCTATTATGACTGGCAATCCATCTAAGAGGCTTGCCTGGAGCGACTGTGAGTATTTTAGGACTATTCTTGCATAGACACCATGTTTTCCTGGATAACTTCCACTTTCATTTGCAGCATTGTGGTGTGCATGCTGCTAGCTGTGTACAAGCCGTTCTGAAGCTGTGCCAGTCTCACCTGTGCTGTGTATGGGGTGCTGTGCTGGCCTTCCTGCTTTTTTGGAGGAGGAAACTGGTAGTAACAGTTTGAGCGACTATGAACAGTGCTTGAGAAAGGCCAAACAGCTGCAAACCTTTACCTGTCTCTCGCTGGAGTTAACATCTGTCACTGCTGCTTCTGTATGGAGCAGAGGAAGCGGACTGGTAAAAGGTCAGCCTCTGCAGGCATGCCAGCCCAGCGCCCTGCTTGGAGGACTGATGACTCTGAAAGCTGGTGCCAGCCTGCACCACGCAGAAGGCTGCTGTCACTGAAAGATGATTTCTGAAGATACAGTCTCATTTCCTTTATGTATAAGACTGTTCCTCAGTTAATATCTAATTAACCTTTGTAAATAGGTCAGTTGTTATAATATTTGATCTTATCAGAACTCTCTGCTCGTATTCCATACTAGACTGAAAGTTATTTCTTAGTCATTAAATATAGAAGTACCGTTCTTTCTATTTTGGACTGATTTGATCCATGCAGTACATTTACAGCCAGCTTACAGTCCATGGGGGACTGGGATACTCTAGATACTGCTGATGCTGTGGAAGATGGACAGAAATATCAAAAGTCCACGGAAAATAAACTTAGATACAGCGAGGGTGTTTAATGAACTAGTGCTAGTTTAGCTCATGCAGAGTATTTTGGGAATGAACAGGAAATACCAAAGCCCTCCTAGAATCTCTGTGCTGGGGAACAGAGGCATTACTGTTGTCATTGCTTCCATTTCTGCCTCAACCACTCTAGGCTGTCTCTGCTGCCACTTTCAAGTGGAGCTAGCCCAGCCAACTGTACATCAGTGCTGAGATACGTTTGTTGTTCTGTAGAACTTAAAATGAAACTGGACCTTCATGTCCGTGATTTCCTGGGCACGCACATGATCCATCACAGCCTGGATCAGATACTGCCCATGATTTCCTGTGCATGCACATGATCCATCACAGCCTGGAGCAAATACTGCCAGAACCATCATTTACACTTGAGGTAAATGATGTGAGGAGAGGGAGTTTCACCAGCCTTGCAATAAAGTCAGGATCTGCTGCTGGTGCTGCTATTGCTTATGGCAGGAGTTCAACATATAATTGTTAAGAAATCCTTGTTTCTTGCATAATGCTTCGAATAGGTATGTAGCGATGGTCTGACAACCTTTGAATGCCTATTATGAGTTTGGATTCCCAAGACGTAGTAGTGATGTCTTTGAAGCTGGCAGAATCGACATTTGTCAAACTGGACTTAGCTGTCAGGGCTTGGATTTCAGCATACAAGAGACATTTTCTTTAATAACTTGAAGTAAATGTATATGGATGAATAAACAGACAACAGCAACTAGATGTGCAGGACTGGAAGCAGCTTTGCAGATCAAGAATGTTGTTCAGTGTAAAACAAGAGGCAAGATATATGTCTACAGAGTACCACAGTAAAGAAAGGAGACGATAGAAGTGACCTGTTTAGTGAAAGTATAAATGTTGTGTTTGCCTCACTTCTCTTTACTACAGATGACTTTGATTCAAAGCACAGACAAGATCCTGAAGATTACCACAAGGCCCACACGCAGAAATCAAAAGAAAATGAAAGGAGAGTGGCAGTCAGTCAGTGGGACATGGATGTACAACCCCTCATTTCATCTTCAAAATGGCTTCAACTTCATGGGCTCAAAAGAAACAAATTGTCCCTATCCCACATTTTGTCACAGATTGGATTCCAGCACAGGAAAGGTATAAGAAAAATCAATAACAGAATAATAAGACACACACACACGCGCACGCAACTTTGAATAGTGTATAAGATCGTGCTCATTTTGCACTCCAGTGTAGAGAGGAGATTTTCCTGTTGTCTCTTATGATAATTGCAGAAAGGGAACCTGTATCCACAGTTGCTGACCTTGCCAGTTCAGGGAACTATGGAACTCCACCTCCTTTTGATCTGAAAAGGACTTAATATCTGAGAAGGGCTTTCCTTACTGAACTGTACAGTTGCTTTACCCTAGGCTTCAGTTCAAATCTTCTCCAATTTAGCTATAGCTGGGAAATAACTCGTGCTGCTGAGACTGTTAGTCTTTTTCCTCAAAAGAACACCTCATCAGATCCCTGTCCTTTTTTAGATTGCAAATATAATGTATGCTGTGCCATACATAATCTGTGATCTACTATTTGTTCATCAGGGCTAGACAGCCTGCTTGGGAACAGTATATTATTTCCAGGGATCCAGCTTTAAGGAAGCAGTTAAATTTTATTAAAGTTCAGGCTGCTTTTTGTGCAAAGTCAGGCTATAGAAAAATGTTCCTTAGCAATTATCTGACAGCTGGAGGGGAAGAGTTTGCTGATAATTATTAATCACTGCTGTAATAGTGCTTTGCAGAGCATGGTAAGATATTCTTTCCTTTGAAGAGCGTGCTGCCTGAGAAGGAGGAATTGGAGGGTATTGCAATTGTTCTAGGATGCAATATTGCAAAATTTTGGCTGGCATGTGTCCATGTGGCATTCAAAGATCAGTAGGGCAGATCTTGAAATCCTGCATGCTGTAGATGAAGAAGAATCTGTTAAGCAGGGTTAATGTTATTACAGTGTAATTTTAGGAGCAGAATGTACTAGTTTAGCAGGGCAGCATCCTGTACGGAATAGCTGCTTGGTGACGTTAAATATTCCCACCCCTAATGTTTTCCTATCGGTGGAGATCCTGTAGAAGATTTCTAGCTACTGAAAGAGCAGAGTGCAACCTTTTCCTCAGTTGCACCCACTTCTGCACCCATTTAGTTGTGTAAGAGAACAGCATTATCTGTACCAGATTTTGTATTTTGTTTGACAGACAAATATTTGCAAGTCCTGTTGTGAGGTAAATGGAAAATACAGCAGTTTAAGTGCCTAAACCATTCATTTATTAAAGTCCCATGTGGCCTTTTGGCCTATAAGTAATTAAATGTGATTTTTTTCCACACTTCAGACTAAACTGGCAGGGAGCAGTAAAAGCAGGGCTGCCCTGTGCGGGGACAAACGAGGCAGGATCCAAAGGGGACCACAGCTCAGGCAGTGCCTGCACTGACCAGGACGCAGCTCTGCAGCATTTAAGCACCAGAGGCAGAGCAGGGTGCTGCTAACAGTCACCACAGACAGTCCCAGACAAGGGGGGTAATCAGCCAGGTCTACGGGCCAGCCAGGGAGTGCAGCCAGGAGTAGCAGGTGATGGAGCCAGAGGCAGTACTGGAGATAAGGCCACAGCATAGATCTAAGAGCCACATTCAGGAGACAGACTTGCGACAAGACTGTAATATAGCGCCGAGAGGTCTATCCAGAAGAGAGAACTAGCAGAACTTGAGACAGGTACACCTACAACACAGCTAAAGCAAAGCCTGGGTGCCCAGATCTGAGAGTCCAGCGAGTGCCCCAGGTGACGCATTACCCAAGGCTTGTTGGTGCCTTCAGGGCCCCAGCATAGACATAGCCAGAAAAAATTGTAAACCAAAAACATAATTAGAATTTCTCTTGAGTTTCTTAACGTCAAGAGTTCAGTACAGATGCATGTGCAGCACACGTGGACAGTATGCACATCAACCTGAAAAACAGCCGCCTGAAGTACTCCTTATGATTAGCAACTTGGTCTTCTGTAACCTTTGCCGTAGATTATGTGACCACCTTGGGGAAACTTGTGGCATCCCGGTATGCAGATGGCCTGTTTCCTCAATACAAGAGAGCACAAGATGGCAGCGTGTATAACGTAAGTGTGACTGACTCGTGGTAACTTCCCTGAGCACCTAGAAGTTAATACCGCTGTAGCAGAATGGTGAGGCTAAAATGTCTCCCCGTGGCATAAAATACTTATTTTCTTTATGTGGGAACTTTATCTTTTGACTTTTTTTTTTCTGTTTTGTCAAACTGTTAGTGATAACAATCAGAGAAGCTAGATACCTTTTTCTTTTTTTTTTTTTTTACCTGCAAAGCCTTACGCTCTTGCCTTGGTGCAGTATTGCAGTAAATCTTTCCAGACAAGACTGCAGTTTCTAAGCAACATTTACTCTGTCCTGAAAGAGGGAACACTTAAAAAGAAGATATTCAGACGAGTTAAAAAAAATAAAATCATAGTCAATAAAACAAACGGGGATGCTGAAATAAGAAGACATAATGCGCTGCCATTGCCGATGCAAAGCGCAGCTTTGCTTAGTGCCAGCGGGTCACAAAAGGCTCAGCCTACTCTATAGAGACAGCTAGCTGGATCTCTGCCCGGGCTCATGTTCTACGGAATGTCTTAGCAACAGCTGCTGGCGGCCCCATTGTTCGGAGGATGGATTCTGATTGAAGAGATACACATGTGAGCCAGGAGGGGAGAGAGTTAATTCATAAAGGATTTTACAAAAGCAAGTGGCTTGTCATATTTTCTGATAACTAGAGTCCCTTCTGAGGCACAAAGCTTAAAAATGGGAAAACAACCATTTCATGGGGCCTTTTCTCTCCTTTTCCCCCCCTTTAATTCCGTATGAATTATCTACTATAATACCTTTTGATCTTACGGCATACAGGGAGCAGTAGGAAAGACATTTCTGGTAACATGAAGGTAGCAATGCCACTATATGAGATGTGGTGAGATCTCATCTAGGATATGATCCTATATTGGGTACAATATTGTGTACAGTTACCACAGGTTGAGAAGAAGCAAATCAAACCAGAACTGGTACTGGGAAGAGCTAGTGGGATGAACTGCAGCGGAGCATTGAGCTTATGAGAGGGCTTGGTTGATGTTGATGTATGTAAGACTGAAGAAGACAAACAAAGGGAAGCATTAGTGCAAAGGCAAATTACAGGGATAGGGAAAATCTACCATTTCCTATGCTAAAAGGCATGTTAGTCCAAAAATAAATGGGTATGAACTGCCATGAGTAAATTTAGGCTGCATGGTCAGAAGTTTGCCAGCCCTCAGAGAAACGGGAGTCTCGACTGGACATCTACAAGCGAAATTGTGCAAGGAAACAGCTTTATTTTAAGATTCAGTTGAGTCTGTGTGGTGCAATAAGCTTCTTTGTATGAATCTGACTGTCATAGGAGGAAACTGGATTTTCGAAGTGCTCCATCCCAGGCCTACATTCCTTTGGCACACAGCCGAGACTCTATCTGGGAGGCACGTTACAGGGCCCTAGCTGACATTAAAGAACAGAGAAAAATACAAATGAGAGGAAGAAGTGTGCAGGCTGATACACAAAATATCTTCTCCTTGAGAAATGTTCTTATTTAAAAACATTTGTATCTCCAAGGTTTTGTACTTAGTCCCAGAAAGGTAGTTGGAGATAGCAGGTAGCGGTAAATGAGCTCACGTGGTTCAGAGATGCTGGGGGAATGTCTTTACTGGAACCTGCGGTGAATTTGTAAACCCAGAAATTATTTTGCACGGTGAACATGTATACATATATTCACAAGGAAGGTCTGCTGATTTTCATTTTATTAATGAATCTATTTTTTCTTATTTTTCTGATATGCTATGGGAAGTTTTAGTTGTTGGTTGCAGTTGCCTCAACTAAATTTGCCTAAGCAGCTACCCTTAAATAGTTAAGCTGTAATGCTGGGCATTGTTAGTGAAATAATGGTACAAACAGGAAACTTTTTACGTTTTCCTTTCAAATGCTAAAGACAAGGTGGAGAATGAAGTGCCCCAGAACCAGACCATACACTCCCTTGTATCGCTGTACAAAATTTTAAGAGCCAGTCAAAATTCTAGTATGAGAAGGTACAGAGTTTCTATGTCCTTGTTTGTTAACCCATCTGCTCTGCAGCCCTTTCTACATTCTAGCCTGTGTTCAGCTCATTCTAATTGCTCCAGTCTTGAGACAGACAAGTCAGACAACCCACTGGCACTGTCCCATGCTCGTATAAAAAGATTATGAAAAGCAATTAGGACAAAATGCAGTGTCTCTTCTATTATAGCTTACATGCATTTGTCAAGTATTTGCTCTTGAAATAGTGGAAGAAAAAAGGGTTGTTTTCACTGCTACCTTGGCTGGCATATCTGGCACTTGCAACCCAGCTATTGCAGCTGTGCTAAGCTTGGGACTGCATTTGTATTATTTGTTTTGATGTTCAATTTCTTTCTCTCCCTTATTTAAATAAAGCTGACAGCCAAAAAAGAACAGATTCTTCATTTTGTGGATTGCCTAATGGGAGCTATTGAGCTATATAAGCAGCGAATGGAATGGTTAACCAGCGAGAGCCGGCAGATATTTGGAGTGATTCAAGAACGGTGCATTGTCATTGTTTTGGGTTTTGGCACTGCCTCTCAACCTGAATTTGATCGATGTCGGGATGCACTGTCTTTGGTACTTCTGGAACAGGTGACCCAAATTGCTAAATTCAACCTCATTTGGTAAGCAGAAAGAGTCATAGAATCATAGAATGGTTGGGGTTGGAAGGGACCTTTAAAGTTCATCTAGTCATCCCCCCTTGCAATAAGCAGGGGCATCTTCAACTGGATCAGATTGCTCGGAGCCCCCTCCAGCCTGACCTTGCATGTTGCCAGGGATGGGGCATTTACAGTCTCTCTGGGCAACCCATTCCAGAGCTTCACCACATTTTTTGTAAAAAACTCCTTCCGTAGGTCTAGTCTGAATCTACCCTCTTTTAGTTTTAAGCTGTTACCCCTTGTCCTGCCACTACAGGTCCTGCTAAAAAGTCCATCCTCATCTTTCTTATAATACCCTTTATGTATTGAAAGGCCTCAATAAGGTCTCCTCAGAGTCTTCTCCAGGCTAAACAAAGAAGTCCGTGCCTGCCCATTGCTGGAGAATAAAAAGGAGTCTCATATCATATAGACATGTGTTTGGATAATATGCTTTCTGTAGTGGAAATTGTCTTGATTCATGCCATGGTAATATCTATAGATTTTCCACCAAGTTTAACCCACAGCCATGCTGAGCTTGCTATTTCCATTTAACAGCAGACCGTTGTTGCCCTAAGGAACAAATAAAGACTAACAGAACCTAGATACTGATAGATGCCTTCTACAAGTGTAGCAGAGAAAGCCAGAAAGACGGGGGGACTTTACAGTAGCAATAACGCTGTTCAGGCATCTAAGTATTACACGGTGAGAACAGCGGGGTCCCATCTGACTGCGTAGGCGCTCCTGTGTCTTTAGGCGTTACAGGTTTCTGCCTTACAGCTAAATGTACCCTCCCCCGAGTGCCATAGGCACAGGCATAGTCATTTGTATTTCTATAGATTTCCATGGTCACAGAGATCAGTAGCAGAACTAGGAAACAATACTAGATTTCCATAACAAAAGACGAGTGCTTGTTCCCTAACATGAGTAAACGAATTTGGGTTTAGTTGCAAATAGAAGAATAGGAGCAGCTATTCAAATTTATATATCTTTGCACAAATTCTTACATATGCATAAAGGTTTGAAGCTAGGGTTTGGGTAGATGAATGGTATTTTGTCACTAAAAAAATGAAACACAGATTAGGTCATATAATTTTAAAATTGGTTCCTCAATGATAGCTTGCAACTACACTGTGATTCTTAAAGTTCTTTTACCCAAGCTTTGTCTTACAGATTTTATTCTGGTGCTCCTATCTTAATTATCTGTAGCTTGTGATACAACTGAGATTTGAAAAGTAGAAGAAAACTTCCATCGCTTTTGAGGAACACATAAAACATTTTCTTTAAAAATTATCTGCAAAGCCAAGTCAAAATTGAGGCACTGTAATTGTGTTCATCGATTAGTTTGCGCAGGAGGGAGACAAAGGACAATATACCGTATAAATTATTACTTTAAAAGAATCTTGGAAAACATACTTGTCTTTTAGATTTGCAGGAAACTCTTCAAAACAGTGCTTGATGTGATGTCACAGATACTGGAACGAGTTATTTTTTTATTTGCTTTTTGTCTTTTTATGTACAAATGCACAGGCATCCATGCACATGCTCATATACTTTGCACTTCTGTACTGCTATTAAGACTAAGGCCTTTGATCAACTAAAATATCAAAAATCTTAGTATCATAAACTTAACTTTGATGGGTAGATAAAGATCAGCCCTATTAAAAAAAGAAGTGTGTCAGTTAAAATGGTCTGACACAAAGGTCATGCAACAAGTTATGGAAAGAGACCCGGGGAAGCCAGATCTTTTTTTCATACACATATTTTAAAAAACTGATTGTGTTTTTATATTAAAGGGAGATGTGAATTAGGAACTGTTTTTAAAGTACTTCAGCTCTCTTGACGCTACTTTGACAAAAACAGTTGTCTGTCTCACAAAAAAAAATCTTATAAAAATTACAGCATTTATCTAAGGGCTTTATTTTTCTTCTTCTATTTCAAGTCTAGATTTAAGTACCTGGGGTTTATTTTAAATATTACTTAAGTATGTAAAAGAATAATAACAATGGTAAAGCTCCACTCTTTTGTTCTGCCAGCTTTATTCTCGCTATTTCTGACGTGTAGTTAATGTCATTTTCAGGGCTGCTCAGGCTCTTGTGAAGTGGCAGCAGAAATCTATTCCTGTGTCTGAAGATATTGTAGAGTCTGCTGTTACGTGGCTCTGGAAGCTCGACCGTATGACAGCTGCCAGCCATACCAGCTCTGCTGAAGCCCTGCTGGAAGCCATGAGTGATGAGGCGGTAAGCTCATACATCTTTTCAGAAGCCTCAAGTAAATCCAAGAATATTCAGTGCCAGACTGGCTACTGTGATTTGCCCTGATGAATATTGCGAAGATAAATATTAATGATGGCATTTGAAAAGGTTGTTTTTTGGGTTTTTATTTTCCCCAAGTAGAGCTGCATACTATGTTTACTGATGGCCTGTTTATGTAAATGTACTGTATTTTGAATGCAGAAACTTGTTATTTTCTATTCTAGAGTACACAGAATAAGTAACATATTCAGTCATTAAGGGAAGGAGAAAACATCTTCCCTTCCACTTTCTTTGCCATGTATGTTTTTCAGGGCTTCCAGTTGGTGAGAAAATTGTTAGTATCAACATTATTGAAGACAGGGAAACCTTTTTTATTTTGTTATGTATCCAAAGTGATCATGAAAAATTATATTTAAAATCCAAAATAAATAAAATCCAAAAGTACAGAGATTTTATTGAAGCATTAACTCATGGTAGAGGTATGCAAATCCTTTTTCACCAGCCCGGTTATAGCTAGAATTTCTTCCAGGACAAGAAAACAAAGTATTGCTGCAATTAAATTCTGTCTGTTTCTAAATGTACCGTATAACTTTACTCATTATAGCGGAGTCACAAGGCATAAAACATATATGCCATCATTTGAGCTAGTCACTTAAAACTTGTGTTGTTAAAGAAATATTTTATCAAATTTGCTTACACTGCACATTTGTTTTGGTTCCTTAGCACCCAGATTTAATGGAAAATGGGGCCTGCTGTGTGTGGACTAGAATCATTGGTGTTCATTGCCACTGAAGTCCATCCCTGTGCACAGATCCTATCCTAACTCCTTTGTAAATCTCATTCTGAGACATTTTTTGGAGAAGCAGGTAAATTTGGCTTGAGTTTCCTTCTGCCCTGTGCTGGTGGATTCTCATCCAGATGAATCTTGATGTTTGGAAACATGCTAAAAAGGAACTGGGTGAGGAACAAATTGTGCAACAGTGGGTTTTTTTATGGCTGCTTTTTCAAACACCTCCTTCATAAATTCTATTAACATTTTCAATTTGCAGTATATTACTGATGTCCCCGTGGAAACGAAAAAGATAGATTTCAGTATTGTCTGGATGAAAACAAGGCTTGTTGGACTTGGTGTGTCTGTGTATGAATAAACAGAAAGTAAAATCCATCCAACAGTGAGACATCTATTATTTTTTTCTGGACATTGGTGGGCTAATGAGTAATCTGGGGAGTCTGTTGTGGCAGGTGCTCAACATAAACCAAACTGCAACTACTCCTAAATGCGTTCATTATAATTCGTAACTGACAGTTCACTTGAGTGCCAAGCCACACTGTGCTGCAGGCTGAGGGAGACCCCATTCAGTCCTAGGCAAAAGCTGCACACTCACTGAACAGTCAGGAATGACTCATTCTGCAGAACTGGGTTGTCAACAGAAGTTGCTCCAAAACAATAGCTCTTTTTTTTCCCTAGAGCTGGCTCTTCCTGTCATTCCTTTAGCTGAGCTTTTCTTCCCATGTGTGGTGACTCCCTAGATTTCCTTTGCTCATGCCCTGTCAGTCCCAAGCTCAAGATCACTCACTCTGCTGTAATGTTGCAATCCTTGTAGCTCTACCTGCCACAGATGCATCTGCAGTGTTTAACATGCGGTTCTGTACAGGTGTCGCTCCACAAAGTGGGGGTCACCCATCCAAAACACACCTCCCCACCAAGGTAAAGACTCTGAGGAACTGTTCATGTTGTTCTCCTTCCTGTGCTTATATGAAGTTTGTTTGCTTGTTTAGATGGCTGCATAAATTATAACTTTCAAAATCTGAAGGACTAAATGGAAAGGTTTTAACCTTTCCCCGCTAATCTGTAAGGAACATCTCTTTTGTGTTACGGTATTGCTGGGTTTGGAGTTGAGTGAATGAATTGTCTGTGGATAGCAACTTTATTTTCTTGTGAGCTGGTTCTGCATCAGCTATGCCCAAGCAACGTCAGCATTTTAAAAGTTGCAGAGGCAGGCAGTAAATCCTTTGGAGGAATTGTGAAAATGGATACCCTTATTGAATATCAAGTTATGAATTACTGGTAGTCTTAAGAGGGAGGAGGAGAAAATGTGAATCTGAAGGAACACAGGGAAAAGTGGTTGTACAATATGCATGCATTCCTCCAGGTCAGGAGCCTCTTCAGCAAAAGGAATAGGAACGAGTTGTTGTCCAAGGACTGGGTCTCAGCTGTGAGAGCTGTGTGCATGCTAGGATAGGTTTTTAGCTGGATGAAACAGAGAGGGAACCCTGTAAAACTGAGCTAAAGCCCACAGAGGTGCAAGAGTTCATTAATTTTGTTTCTGTTCACCCATTCCTAAATCTAAGTAGTATTTTGTTAATCTTGCACTCGAATGAAGCCCATTCATTCTCTTCTTTAACCTTGGTACTTGTCTAGCATTAACAGTGAGGCCCGGTTGACCACAGACTTGCTTTCTCCCAAGCAAGTGTGGTCCATAACTAGGAGCACTGCCTCCCACATGGAGCGTCTCACCCGTCTACAAGATCCAGGGGAAGCCTGAGGTGGCAAGGCGCTGCTTCATTCATTTGCCTAGGCTAGCTTGAGGTTGGGTTGCCACCAACTTCTTCCAGTGGTGAGGGTTAGCCCAAGTGTTTGTGGCAGAAGTTAGAGGAGGGAGAGAACTTGAAATCCAGAAATCCATTGTTAGTTTTCATCAATGTGCTTATGATGTGGGACAGGATAGGGATCCTACAGCCTGGAAGCTTTGAGTACAGACTGGACAAAAGATGTTCATGTGCCACTCTTGGCTCAGAGAGCTGAAATATAAAACAGTATCAGTGGCACTGGTGGAAATGCATGAATACACTTACAGGTGATATTGAATTTGCTTTACCGCTGCTTGAAATTATGAGGGTGCAGAAACATTTCCTCAGTGCCATCCCAGACTCAAATAGTTGTCTTCTCTTTTGTGGTGCACATCACAGGATTCCTAGTCATGCTCAAGTCTAGTTAAACATCTATTTATCAGATATTTATCGGTTGGTATGTTCCACGCCATAGGGCTGACATGTTATACTTACTGTTTTGAACATCATCATGGGATAGCTGTTGTTACATTTGTTTTTAATGGTGGTGAAAATTCAAGCACCATAATTACCATGAGGATTGTTAGCATGGATAAGTGCAGGTAACATCAAATCCCTCATAATGTAATGCTCAGGCAATAACTAAAGGACATTTCTTCAGCTTCTCTCTCTTCTTGCAATAACATTTTCAAAATGTAAGTGTGTGTGGTCGTAACAAACCTGCCAAGCTCCCTCTGCCTTGGGAAGTATAAAAAATACAAATTATCTGTAAATACCAGCAGTGGCATTCAAAGAATGATGCAGCTTTCCTACCCTGAAAATACATGCTGCCAATACAAGTATGCCTGGGATAAAAGTTTCTGCTCATTTTCAGCCCTGGCAAGGCACCAGCACATCAACTCTCTTCATAAAAGTGGAACGGGCAGAGCGCCTTGTTCTGACTAATAATACAGTTGTCCTTCCTTACCCTTCTCTTTGGTTTCAGTTAACTTCTATGGAAAGGGGCTTGCATTGGGCAGAATCACACACAGGGGCTGCCGGCCAGGCTCTCTTCTCACTTCAGGAAATTTTGTGTGGACTTCCTTTGAATTACTAGTATAAATGAGAGGGAGGACCAAAGATCTGAAAATCTTATGGTCCACGTCATGCATTTGTTCTACCAAGTTTTCCTACCAGTACTCAGCACAGGACACTGCTTGAATAAGTACCAGGCATCTATGTAAAACAATGTCTTCCAATTCCCATATTTTTTTCTGTTTAATGACAGGTTGAAGCTGTTTATTACTTTGCTGTGGGTGATGTTCCCATGGACACAAAGCAGCTGCTCCTTGAGAAGCTTCCTCATGGCCCCTGTCCAGTCAACACTGTATCTTTCAATGCTAGGGAAGATGAAACTATTATTTTTCTGAAAGAGTTGAGCCGCTTGGCCTCTGGCAGGTATGACAAAGAAGCAGCACAATAATGATTTTTCAGTACTTGTAAAGTGCTTTGCTGTAGGAATGGTGTCTGAAGATATCTGGGCATAATCCCTGTTTTCCTCCTGAGGAAAATGAGAAAAAGCGTTTCAGTAAGTGATCTGGGGAAACTGGGGAAATAGTCTAAGGGATATGACTAAAATGCAGGACCTATTCAAACTTCATGTATGTGCCCACTGCCTTGCAGAAAGGCCATTCCTTTTTTGTATCTTAAATTGTCTGTCATCTGCTCCTCTTTTGAACCCTGAAAAATTGTGTAGAGGAGAGAGTCACCACATAAACTGGAACAAGTTTTCACTGTATTGCTTTGCATTCTGGTAATATCCACAGGCACCAGCAAAGGATCTAGTTTTTTGTTGGATAAAGTGCCATACAGGCATATACTGGAAAGGTAATGCCTGTCCTAAATGGGCAGCTCCTGGAACAAGAAAACTGATGTGTTGTTATCCATCAGGCCTGGTTGTGTGGAAATACAGTTCTGTACCATGCTCTCTAGCACCTACTTGGTATGGCTGATGGAAACCGATACATTCCACATGGCTTGTTGGCTACTTTATCCTAAGAATCAGCCTTCAGTAGAAAGGGATAATAAAAGTTCAATCTTGATTCTGATATCAAAATAAGGAAAACAAACAACCATATGCAAAACCCCACAATACCAAACTCATGCTGAACAGCAGGAGGGCAGTAGGAGTCTAGGTATTTGCCTGCTTAACAGAAGTCACAGTGCAGTTACAGAGCTGTGAAATGGCTGCTAGCTTTTTCTGTTTCACTGTTGTTTGTGCAAGAGTGGGAAGTCCTCCAACAGTAGAAATCTCCCAAATGACAGCAGAGCAATTGGGAAGATGGCAGCTGCTTAGCTCTTTTATAGCCATCTGTGTTTAGAAGTAGCTTTTAAGAGATGGAATGTCTGCCAAAAAATGAGACTGTGGGAAAGTGTTGTTTGCTCTGGTCTGATATGTGTCTGAAATGATTGTGGTCACTTAAAACTGTGGTACCTCCATGATACCAGGTACATTACCAGTCACCATCCCTCATTTTCTTTTGGCAGTGTTTTTCCCTCCTTTATAAAAGGAAAGTGAATGTTTCTTGTATGGTGGAGAAAGAGGCAGGAAGATTTGTGGCAGGGACCTGAGAGGAATTGTGTTCAATACGATTCCCACTGTCTTCTTTTTGCATGAGTCTAGCTTTGTGCAGATACTTAGTGGGCCAATTAATATCTTGCTGGTGGGTATTTGCCCGATAACTGACTTGAACTCAGTTTTCCTGTAGGAATGTCCAAGTTCATGGGCTTTTCATGACTTAAGCCTGTTTCTAGTGTAGTTCTGGTTTAGAAACACATCTTTTTCCTGCTCTGCGAGCTTTTCTGTTCTGACAATGAGGGTAAATGAAGTCTGCTTGACTTCCTGATTTGTATGTCGATAATGAAATAAATGTTCCTGTTGGGCTTTCAACTGGGAGGATTAATCTGATAAAAAGGTGTTAGTGTCATCTCAGACATCTCAAATGACACGCTTGCTCAGCATGTTAAAAGCATTAATTAAAAATAGATTTCCAGGAGATTGAAAAGGAAGGTGCCTCAGAGTAAATAATACCAAAATGAAAGGATGTTCTTCATGAAACAACTTAAGAATGTACTTAAATATATATAAAAGCTTTGATAATATTAACAGTGGTGGTGTAGCTGAAGGTTTGGATATCTTGAATAGATGAGCTAATAATTCTAAAGTTGTACACCATTATGATCTTGTGTATGTGACATAAATCTTGTTAAAATTAGGGAAGTATTTATGTAGTTTGTGTACCGGTGAAAACTCATTTTGTATTACAGATTCCATGCTTTTGCTGAGAGGAATGACTATAGAGATGCTGCTGGACCGGCACCAAATTGTGAAGACGATGGAAAAGGTCTAATTGCCCTGAATTCCAGAAAAGTGAAGAGGCGATTACCCCTAGGTAGACAACATGAAAATCAGGATGATACTGATTTTCTCAGGGAGGTTTCAGAATAGAAATGTAATATAGGAACTTGCTAAATGTAAAATCAAAAGAAGCTTTCTGTAGCCATGGGTGGGGTGAGGACAGGACTGGTCAAACGGAAATTCTGTGGATGGGAAGGAGAGGGAAAGGAAAAGAGAGAAGTGAACAGACCAGAGGATGTGCATGTAAGAATGAAAGAGAAGTGAAAAAAAGGACAAGAACATTTGTTTAGGGAAATGAAGAGTAGTCCTGGTGTTCTTATGCCAGTGACCTTGTGGAAGTGTATAGGGAAATGGCAGAAAGGAAGGGGGGTAGTGTGGAAGACCAACACAACTACATCAATGCAGGCTAAGTTCATACATAATATAAGGGGATTAAATCCGTGAGGTTGACTTGCTTCTCTCAAGATCTGAATTTCTCATAAAGACAGGCAATGACCACAGTAAAATAACCATAGAGAACATGTTGGAAAGAAGGGGGGAAAATTTGATGAAAAAGAACCCAGAAGGAAACAACTAACAGAAAGAAACAGTTTTACTGTGGGGTGGAGCTGGGCAGAAAGCTCTCAGTATGTTTGTTGTTAGTCACAGTGCTACTTCCTCTGGGATAAGTCAGCCTTACTGTTCAGTGGGACTGGACTGGGGTTTCAGCCAGGCCGGGAGGAGACCAGCTTGGGTGTGAAGTGAGGCTGTGTATGTCAAGTTTGATCTCTTTATCAGCAGGACATTAAATTAAAAAATAATTTATTTTAAACATTAGGAGGCAAAAGACACTTTATTCTAATGGCTCACATCCCCATTATGCCGGGGGGCATTAGTGTTGCCCCAAAGGTGGAACAGTGTTGTCCTCTTCTTACTGCTAGGGAATGTATGGCATAAGGTGGATTTAGTGATTCACCTAAGGTCGTTTGTCAGTCTTGGACTAAATGGCCCCTATTTCCTGGGTTGTAGTCTAGCTCCTTGTGGACTAACCTATCCTTCACTAGGACCGTGATTGTAACAGTATGAGAGAACCACAGTGGGGGTCCAGAAATAAGAGAGTGATGTGTCACCTGGTTGTTTTGCTTCGTGAAGGGACACTCAAGCCTCACCCATGCAGGGTTTAGAAACCTGCACTAGAGTATGCTTCAAAACCCCATCTCTCTTTCCGTACTAATTCAGAGCAGTATAATGATCTCTTCAGTCTGCTGAGTGGACCCCAATTGGGGGTGTGTGTGAGGGAAGCTGGCTTCCTCTCCCCCTCGGGCAGTCACCCTGCTTCTATAGATGGGCCTAGAGCTCCTGTATGACTGATATTACTTCCTCACCACTCTTTCTAAAGCTGAAAGCTGAATAGCTTTAATCGCTCAAAAGGGCAGTAATCCCCTTGAAGTGCATTGTCTGTTGTGTCTTATTGCTATTATGGAGTAGAATTTACACATTAAAAAGGAACACAATTAGCTTTCTGCATTTATGGGGTATTATAAGCACAGTTGTGACATCACTGGCAGCCAATCGGAGTGTTGCAGTTGTATGCAGAATCTAAAAGTCCTTTCAGAAAAGAAAACACATTGGAGACATTATTCTGGTCTGTGTCTGATGTCTCTTGTTTCAGAGACTCCTTCAAGGGTGTAGAAGGCAGTAATAATAAAAGTGTAGATTACTCACTAATGGGCTCTGAAACTGGTTCTTGGATGTGTGGCATAAACTATACAAGGAAATAAATAGAAAATGAACCAGAGATTTAATCTTCCAAATGTGGTGTTTCTTGAAAATAAGGGGAGGCACAGGAATATTTTGATTATGTTTCTTTTTGCACCACAAATGCAGCAGCTGGAAACCAAAACTCATCACTGTGTTTTATGGACTGAAGCTGTTGTAAGGGCATCTGATAGTTTTCTGGGTATCCACTGAATAAGAGAGTTTTGCAAATACAGGATATCTTCATGTTCACCCTTTTTCATCTTCCTAACGAAAACGTCAGAAGTGAGCTATTTAAACCTTTAGATAAGAGCTCCATTCTCCCCTGTTTTGCATCATGAGCAGTCATTTAGAAAGCAAGCATGAGAAACTACCAAATTTCCATTTTTTTTACACTCATTTTGAGTGGGTGCTCGATATGAAAACAGGTGTAAGCCAGTAAAGAATTCAGGTCCCTATGTTGGCAGACTCAGATTTACTTAAGGCAGAGAAATACTCTTACATAAAGCCAAATTTCACCCATGTGGTGATTATCTCTTTATCCAGCACTGATTTTGCTATTATCACTTCTGCCTCCATTCTTTGTGTAGCTTCTTCAGCTGCAGAAGTAAGCAATCCTGTTATGTAGTTAAAATCCTCAGTGGAAGGGAGGTGAAATTTAAGTTGGAACCTGAAGAGAGAGGGCAAGAGATGGTGGAAACTGTGGAGAAGAAGATTCTTGCTGAAAAGGGGCACACTTGTGTCATCTGCTTGCAGTGACAAGGAGATAAGTGCTAAACAGAGCTTGGAAAGCAATGGTGTTTTGAACTAGATCCTGAAATGAATAGTGGGTTCTCGTTGGCTGAAATAGAAACAACAGTAATTCTCTGTGCCGTGTTTTTCTGTGTGGTGGACTGCTGGTGTGAAGAAAATACAAGTCAACTGAAATCAGGATTTGACTGATGTGAAAAATCCAAAGAGGGTTGTGTCTAACCCTTCCTGTGAACAGTGTATGGCTCTTAGGTGTGCTTGATTGTCCACATTTACCTGGCAGTCACAGGGAAAATTTCAGATTGCTGCATCTAAAATGGGAAGCAGAAGAGTGCCAGCCTCTGCCATGACACTGAGGTCAATGAACTCTGCACTGTTTATGTACACGGACATGGGAGCGACCGAACCCTCCCTTTGGGAAGCCAGGATAATGATTTAAAAGCAGCTGCTTTGCCTACAAGCTGTAGCAAAGATCATTGTCTCTGCTTTTTCCCTGCATGCGCTTTGTCTAGGCTGAGCAGCGTAACCTTGGCCTGGCAAACCTCTGCGCTATGTGCAGAGAGTGATGCAGATAGCTGCCCCGCGGCACCACATAGGATACAAAGTCCATTTGCTTTGTCCATTTGCCCAGTGGGAAAGGGGCATGATTGGGCTACGTTGAGTTTCGGTGCTGCTTGACCTGGCAGGTACAAATTACAGCTGCCAACTCCCCTCCAGTGCCCTCTAAGTGGGGACCTTTAAACCAAGGCTTGAGGGAATGATGCTGTGTTCTGCTGCCACGCAGAGGCTGAGGAAGGGACCAGCAGTGAAAAGACGAAAGGCAAGTGAAGTTTAAAATAGACCTTTTCCCCTTCTGTTTGGATTTGCTTGCTTCTTGTGGTCTATGTCAGATAATCAGAGAAGTAAGAAATGCTTCTGTTTTCCATGAGTTGCTTTTGCATTGGTATTTGCTTGATGTTTCAAGGATATTGTAGATTTTGCTTTTTTTTTTCTTTGTTATGGGCTTTTATTCTAAGCAGGTTTTGTGTCTTGAGTATGAAATTAAATGTGTTAGAGTGGCTTGTGGAACTGGATGAGTTTGTCTGCTGGGAGGTAGGTGTGGAAAAGCCGCTTCTTTTAAGACTGCCTGACAGTGTTAAATGACTGGGAAATGGAAATGAGGGCGGTTATGAGTTTCCGTGTACATGTGCCAGTGTGTTTGTGTTTTCACCTAGACCTTTCTTCTCGATTCACCGTCGTCAGCAAAATGCTTCTGCCCCTCACCGCAGGCTCTCCCCACACCCACACCCATCCCCATCCTCGTCCTCTTTTTTGGGGCCTCCCCTTCAGAGCAGAAATGCTGTTTAACTGAGGGCAGGGCATGTCTGAAATGGGATCCGGTGTGAGAGGCTCTGTGGGCTCGCCATGGCCGTGGAAAGCCAAACCCAATGGCACAGGCCAGGGGTAGGCAAGAGGGCGGTAAGGCCGGTTCCCTCGTGTGTCTGGGGGCCTCCCTCTGGCCCTGTGGTGGTTTTTGAATCGGAACCAGGGGTCCCCAGGGTTCCAGCCCTGGTGACCGTTAAACTGCCACCCAAAGCAGCTGAGGAGGGGGAGCAATTCACTGTGGGAGGACAAGGGGGCCCTTTCCTCCAAGGGGGGTGGTTTTCAGCTGCTTTTTGGTTGGTGGCCCCCCAAAATGGCAGAGCTGAAGTGTGAGCGCAGAAAACTTAAACCAAAGAGAGGTTTGTGCTTTCTTGGTCGTTTTTAAATGTTGAACTTTTGAGGGACAGGCTTCAGTTTGAGAACCACACCTGGAAGATAATATACATTGTATGTGCATGTGTCTTTTGAGTTTGGGGGCTCAGTTTTGAAAGGCACAGCTTTTGCTTCCCGCTCCTCCTTAGCTGGAGAAGAAAAGAGGCAGAGTCAGAGGTGGAGGTGAACCTCCCCTGTAGAGGGGGAAAGGCGGTTTGGTTGTCACTGCTTGCAACCTGCTCTCCCAGTTAAACCCAGGAAAAGATGTTCCAGCTCATTGCAGCTTTCCAGTATCTGAAGGGGGCCTACAAGGGTACTGGGAGAGGACTTTTTACAAGGGCCTGTAGTGATAGGACAAGGGGTAATGGGTATAAATTGAAATCAGGGAGGTTTAGATTAGATATCAGGGAGAAATTCTTCACAGAGAAGGTGGTGAGGCACTGGAACAGGTTGCCCAGAGAAGCTGTGGATGCCCCATCCCTGGATGTCTTCAAGGCCAGGCTGGATGAGGCTTTGAGCAACCTGGTCTAGTGGAAGGTGTCCCTGCCCATGGCAGGGGGGTTGGAACTAGATGATCTTTAAGGTCCCTTCCAACCCTAACCATTCTATGATTCTATGATTCTATGTTGCCAAGTGAAAGGTTTCCTAAGCAAGTTGACCTTCACCAACGTGCTCTTGTTGATGCCTGCGTTTGTCCTGTGTAATGAGTGTCATCAAACGGACTTGCTTTGAAAGTCCATGCAGGTTTACCTGGCTGTGCTGCAGCATAAATAAGGAAAAAAATACTTTCTTGTGTAATAGCAATTCAATACACAGTAACAATAATGCTGTAAAATTGATGAGTCCATGATATCAGTTTAAGGGGAAATTGGGCAACACAATGGTACTGTCAGTATTGTTTTAAAGGTAGTTGAAATATGCATAATTCCTTTAATATTTTCAAACATAACATAAAAACATTCATAAAATTTAAATCTGGATCCCCGTATTTGACAGCTTATGGAGGATATCCAGGTTTTGTTGGAGATAGCTTCACTGGAATTGCATTCTCAACAGTCTTAAAATTATAAAAATGCGCATGTTTGGTATGAATGTGTGTTTTGTGGTTTTATACATATTCAGTGGCTGACTACTCATCAGAAAATCTCTAGCTCTCTACTTGCTTGAATTTTGCCAATGTTCAGATTTTGTATGCCTTGCATTTCTGGGGAGGGTTTGTTTATAAAAGAAAAGTTGACTTCTTTTTTTGAAGAGAATAATTTTCTGAAACTTAAAATGTAATGATAACAGACTATGGGTTTGGGATTTTTTTCCCCCCCCCTCCCTTTGTGTTTTATTTTGTGGAATGATCTGCTGTACTAAAGCTTGTTGCGGTGTAGGAGATGTTGATCTTTGTCATAAGGGCAGTTGTTTTTGAAATGCATGAACGTCCCAGGAGATGGCAGTGTACAATAACTCATTTCAAAACATTTCTTGGAAACTAAAAGCGTTTCACAATTTAAAATTGAATTGTTATTTTGTAAAACGTTCATATTATTATTTCAGGGAAGTTTATCAAAGAACAAAATGATTAGATTTGTTGGTTTACTGATAGCCTACTTTAAGTAGTCAAGTTTGCATGTCTTATCTTTCATACAGTGAACCACTGCTGTATATTAACTGAATCACTAGATGATAAGATATAGTTTGCCTTGTTCAGCATCTTTATGTGCAATTCAGTAATAGGCTGTAATCTGCAATAGGTTCTAGACTGCAGCTGTGGCTAGGATAGCTTACAATTCGGTTTCTTTTATATTTCTACTGGAATATTACACACAGTTTTTCTGTATTGTACTATATTGCAATTTAAACTCTAAGACTAAGGTAATTTAACACACTTTTAGTAGTATTCATACAGCATAGATATACATGGTTCCTCAATTTTAATAATTGCACTCTCCTCAATAAATACATATTTTAACTTTTTAAATAAAGATGAATATATATTGAGATTAAGAAAACCTTGTATCAACTCCAGGTTTGGATTTTTCCAATTTTTTGAGAATATAGCTTGACAATAAAACATTTTAATTTTTACAGTAATTATTCATGACTGTTGAGAATTGTTAGGATGAAAATAATCTTAGCAAAATTTCATCACATTATCTTCAGGGAAAGAATATTTAATTTATATAAAGGTATTATGTACTTTAAGGGAATTGAAAGAGTTGAAAATATCTCCTCTTTAAAGTTTCAGAGTTGGGTCTAGTATTTGGAGCCAGCTTTTGCAATGAAGTCCAGGAGACAAATGTGTATTTCTTTGTGTAGTTTCCTTATTATTATACAAGAATGTTAAAAAGGATTAGCTTCCTTTGTGGGAAGAATCTGTGGCCAACTCTGGAGGTTACTTCCACCAGGCTAAGCACCTCTCATGTCCTGGTGCCAGCTTTGAGCTCTTTTATGAAGTCTATTAAAGAACAGCACTTGTCACTGCAATGGGACCTCAAGAAAACAAAGTTATGTGGCACCATCTGGATGAACCCAATGACTTAGTGGTAATTGAGGAGTTATAAAAAGCAGAAATTGTCTCAAGATGTCAAGTTCTTTTTATGATTTCTTTTGCAGTAGCTGGTGTCCGTGAAGATGTCTTTTTGATCTGGAAGGAGTTGGAGGAAGCCAGGAGTATAGTAGGACAAGTTCAGAAAATTTTATCAGAATCTGACCAGCCTCCTTCTCAAGATGGTATCATTTGTGTTTCTTTCAAGAGAGTTGCCATTATATTAATGATCAATATTTTATTTGTGAAGAGTTTTGATTACATGCCAATTTGGGGCTGATTTTCTCAGAAATGTCTCAATACAGGTAGCATCTATACTTGGCATCTAAACCTAGGCTTGCTTAAAACTTTCTATTACAAATCTTTATTTACTACTGCTTAAACTTGCTGAACTTTACCAGCTCAGGCTGAAATGCACCATTTTTAGTTCACCAGTGACTACATTTAGAAATTGCCTAGGTTTCAGGGTACTGAAATTCATGTTTCCTGGTCTCTCCCTCTCTGTCTGGGCCAATAAATCTTTAGCTTCATTCTACACAGTGCTGGGAAAGTACTTAATCTCTCTCCCATCACAGTCCTCTTGGGACAGCTTCTAAACTGTTAGTTAGTTCATTCCCCTAAAAAGGAAGAAATATGGGTTTGAAATCTTTTAGTCAAAGGTAGAGGACTGAAGCTGATTCTGGATGAGTGCTCTGACAACTCCTGTATTAAGAAACATGGAGGAACACCCACATTTCTTCACTGAACTAATAGTTCCCCCCATTATGTCTGACCTAGAACATGATCTGTTTATTCTGTGCATAAGGATTGGACTGAGCCCTGCTGAAGACAGAAGCATAGCTGGTTTCTGAATCTCTGGGAGGCTTAAACAGGGGATGGTGAGGAGCTACTCATCCCTGCTGAGACGGAGGTGCTCTGGGCATGCTCTAGAGCAGAATGATCACACTGACAAGACTTAAACACTGAAAACTTAGGAATCTGCGGAGTCTAGGCAAGTTCAGTGTTGGACCGCAACCGAAGGGGTGGATTTTCAGGATCATAGCTGTGGCTGTGAACTGCCTATGTTCTGCATTAGTCCCTGGTTTTAAGGTACTTACGTGGTGTCTGGTGGTATTTTTTGCATAAGTTGATCAAGATTCAGGTTGACTTACCGCAAGTCATCAGTGAATTTGTGTAGCTCCAGTATTGGTTTTGCAGTGCAATTGCTTTTGCTTTGGCTAGGTGAAAGCTGGGGCTAGATGCCCTTTTCTGGATCACCTGCTGAGGAACACTTTGCTCAGTCTGTTGATCAGTCACCTGAAGTCTCAGCGGTGAGTTGTAGGGTGGTGATGGTGATGATTTGAAGCTGGGTGAAGATTTCCGAGACTTAAGCTTGAGTTTATTCTTCTGTGAAGGCATAACACAGTTTTTATACTGATAATAGCATCTTCTGAATTAGCAGGAATTCTCATGAAGTTAAACAGCTGTACTGTAATGCTTATAAACAAAAAGACCACAGTAAAGCTGCAAGGGCAGCCTTAATTTCAGTGTTTATTTATGTGCTCCTGACTATGCAGCTTTAATATTCTTTTAGTGTTTGTCTTCATATATAACCACCTCAGAAAAAAAGAATAAAAGAAATTAAATTACAGTGTGATTTGCCAGTTCTTCAGCATTATTTGACTGTTGCCCATTGATCCAAATAACTACAGTCTTTTTGTTTGCCTGCATTTCTTCTTGGTTTTGCCTTCCTGATCTCTTTAAAATGCTCTGCTGCAAAATGTTAGTTAGTTCTGAAGACTGCAATGTTCTTCAGGAGAAGAAACAGAGAAAAAGACGCAAAATTTCAGCTGACTCTCCAGATAATGCACTGATTACTTGAACAGGGGCATGACCTTTTACCAAAAGCATAAGGAAGAAAGAAAACAACAGTTTTCTTTTAAAAATTATGTGAGTGCATTAGTGACACTTGCCACCCTGGCTGTTACAAGGACTATAAGCATTTGGAAAGCAAGTTTCCCTATGAACAGGCTCCGACCCTGCACCTGCCCTGAAGTTGGACGATCTCTGTGTTTGTTAAGGCCGTGGATGTTTCCATAGGTTTGTTTATAGGTTCAGGATCTCAGTACTCTTGTCACTGTATCTGCATCTAATCAGAGTAGACATTTATACCACCTATGTCCACCAAAACTGAAGTGTGACAAAATAAATTCACCCTGCTATGAGACCCACTGCTGAGCCATTTGGTTTAGGTGTGGTTTACTGAGCTAGTGATGAGTGAGTGTGGAGCCCTGTGTCCTGTTACCAATATCCAGAGATGTGCAGTGCCCAACCTTATGATGGTCCTTAGGAAATTTCTAAGACAACGTGACATAAAAGGGTAAACATGAGAACAGTCATACCAGATCAGACAAAAAATATGCTGTTTCTTTCAGTATCAATTAAAAACGTGTAAAGGAGAGTGTAGAACTAGAGAAAATGTCAATATGGTACACAAGTGATCTGTGACTTGAGATACATGCAATATTCAGCCTATAAAAATGCAATATTGCAGAGAAACACAGTAAAATCTCTTCCAAAGATGTTGTAGTTTGCCTTTTACTTTAAATGGCTTTCTCAGAAAAAGACCAATGACAATGCTAGTCCATATTCTCAACTTTATTTTCAACGATATCTTCTCTTGTTTCATTTTCTCAAATGATTCTCCTTGAAGTTGGATATCTTATGCATGAATCTTTTCTGGCATTTTGTAATTCAGCCAATATGCAGGTTAAGTCAACCTTCATACTACTAAGACTATCCCCCTTCTATGTTGATCTTCTAGTCATTTATCTTCTTTGCTCTCTGTCTTCTGATGGGTTTGTTCCATTTACAAAGGAATTTGCTCCAAAGAAATGCCTGATAAGCAAGAAGAACCCAAACCCACAACCTAAGTGGAGATTATTAAAAATCAGTCAGAAATATTCTCTCACTCCAAAGCTGTCAGCGAAGCAGAACAAGTCTGAAAATTTTGACCACAGCATTGTAGCCTGTTTCTGAAAATACTTTATCCAAAATGAATCATGTTATAGAATTTTTTAAAATTTTAAAATATTTTCTTTATCGGCAGCCAAAGCTGATCATCCACTAAAAAAGTGCACATCTGACCAATATTTGTCTTCCGAGAAGTGGTTGCAGAAGTATGGCTTGAAGGCTCAGAAGCTCACACTGTATGATGCGCTTGCCGATTGTACTTTTCGCCATGCAGATGGCATTGTTGACATAAAAACTAAGCCAGAGGATGAATCTTCACAAACTGATGCTGTGAGTATTGGTCATTTTCGCTCAGTGTCCTGTAAGGTGATTATTTTTTTCTTTTAAACCTTGGAAACTTGACTGAGAGCTGAATTTATGATAAAGTGTATGGTCTGTTGTTCTCTGTTTTTTGTTAAAACCAGCTTATTAGTGGAATGGGAAAAAGATGGTCATAAATAAGATTGTTTCAAAGGGCTATTTGAAAATGACCCTTTCAAGGACTCCTTCCTGGTCCACATATATAATCTGCAAGGGAGAAGCAGGGCTGGCTTAAGCAATGCCTTCTTTTTCTATGTCTTTATGTGAGGTAGGGCAAAGATTGCTTGTCATCTTTATTTTTCCGTAGATGAAGTGTTGGTCTCAGCTGCTCCAGTGTTTGCAGATCCTTAAACAGATTTGGATTAATTTGTCTCCTATTTGTTTTTCTCAAGCTTTACCATTACCTGTTTGATAAACTTATGTTCTTGCTAGCTACATGAATAAAATCTGTTTCTATTGACTTTTGCTAGGAGCAAATTCTGTGACAACCCTGTCCTGTGTTTATTTCTGCACCTGTTCATGTGCAACAAGCATGCACCTTTTAAGTTTGCTTGCCAAATATTAAAGGCACTGCAAAATAATGTGTTTTGGAACATGAAAACTATTTTTCTTGGCTGTAGGAGACAAAGAGGAAGGTAATTCATGCAAAATACTGTGACAAGTTTGTACATACCTGCTGGAAAGATGGATCTGTAGTTCATGTATACGTTAGTAAAGGGAAGTATAAGCAATATGAAGAGAAAATGAGGATGGCTCTCAGACAATTGGAAGAAAGGTTAGTGTTCTGTCACATAAAATCCATTTGTATGGTTTTATATTGGTGTTGAAATGTTTGACATTTACTGTCATAATGAGCTGAAGTGGTTGGTAAACTGCCAGTAGCTGTACTAAGCAGAAATCCATTTTAGATCAGAATCTTCTGTGTAGGATTTCTTAGTATCCATAAAAGAAAACTGATGAACAGTTTTATCTTTTGTTCTCCTTCTGGAACCCAAATGTGAAAGTCAGTCTGCAAATTATCGAAACACTGCTGAAAGTGCCAAAAATCACTGGGACAGAAGGTGGCAGAGAACTTGCAGAATCATCAGTGAAACTTGCTAAACATTCATCCTGTGTACCTAGGATCTCTTGTGATACCTTGGCTTGTGCCTATACTGATAATGGTACCTTTTGCAATTTTGTGTTGAAGACAAGTTTGAACAGTCTAGATCTGAGTCAGAGCGTGAGCTATGAAGTAATGCTTATGATCAGAAATTCAGTGATAAAGCTAGCTCCCTAGTTTACTTTGCTGCTGCCATACAGATACAGTCTTAGATTTTGTAGGACATCTAGAATGCTGGAGAAGGACTTTTACAAAGGTCTGTAGTGACAGGACAAGGGGTAACGGGTTTAAACTGAAAGTGGGGAGGTTTAGATTGGACATCAGGAAGAAATTCTTCCCGGAGAGGGTGGTGAAGCACTGGAACAGGTTGCCCAGAGAAGCCGTGGATGCCCCATCCCTGGAAGTGTTCAAGGCCAGGCTGGATGAGGCTTTGAGCAACCTGGACTAGTGGAAGGTGTCCCTGCCCATGGCAGGGGGGGTGGAACTAGATGTTCTTCAAGGTCCCTTTCATCCTAAACCATGCTATGATCATATTATTTTATGATCTATGAAAAAATAGGCAATCAGAGGGTCTGATTCGTCTGTCCCAAAGATGCTCTTAAATAGAAGAAAAGGTTTTATATGAAGCCTTTATACCTACATTAGGAGAAGAAGGAAATTTTGAAAATGGATATTGTTGAACCAAGAGAAAGAGTAAATATTGCCTAATGTAAATTAGGACAATGAGAGATCTCACTGAAAAAAAGCAGGATGTGAACTTACATTTTATTGCTGCTTCTTTACAAGAAGTATAACAGCCTGATTACATTTAGCAAGGTCAAACAGAGTTTTGTTATTCCTTTTAGTTTATCTTCATCTTGCTGTATTTAGGATAACATTAACATACTGTGGAAAGAAGATTTGAGGTCAAGGGTTTTGGCGGGTTTATATTTTTGAAATACAGGTCAAGATTATGGGTTTGCTGTTTTGAATGGTTCATCTCATGGTTAAAAAGTCTTGCTAGACCTCATCAAACACTTTGGAGGGAATAACTAATGGCAAAATAGCTATCAGTAGCACATATAATAGGATCCTTTAAGTTTCCATGATATCATTTTTTTAAACCTCTGTGGAGATGAGTCATATTTTTCCCAGGGCCATTATATTCCGCCTGTTAAATGTCTCTGTTTCAGAGCAGACAAGTCGTTTATGACTCTCAAGGGAAATAAGATTTGGACCTGCTGCATCCATTACTGAGGAAATGTTCTTGTACACAGAAGTATGTATGCACATATTTAACTGGTAGGCATCCTCAGATTCTGTTTAAAATGTAAAACTAAGCTGGAATTTCCCAGCTCAAACCACCTGATAACTGACCTTATAAGGGAACTCTATTGCTTTGTCTGTTTTGTCTGTCTCCTACTGAAATTAGGAAATAAAAATGCTTTGTGCTGTTCTATAGTGGCAGAGGATTGGTACATCAAGGTCAATATATGGCTCCTGACAGTGACCAGTAACAGGTGCTTAGGGAAATAGAATGAGTAGAGCAGTGATTACAAGGTCCCTCCTGTTAGATTCTGATATGCAAAGCTCAAAATATCTTACAGACCAGGTTTTGATTTTTTCCTTACCTTCCCCAGGATTAAGTGGCTTCAACAAGGAAGCAGAGGGCTCTTTGGGAATGTGTTTGAAGATGATGTCTATGTTCTTATTGATACATCCCAGTCTATGAAGGACAAGCTGCCACTGGTGAAGGAGAAAATATTTCAGCTCATACAGGTGTGGTAAAGTGATGATTCTGAAGACTGAGGAACATTTTAGAGTAGGCAGATCTTTTCTGGATGGCTGTTACTCTAATTTGTTTTTTCAAATTATATAAAGCAGATTTATAAAAGTATTTTGATTTTTCTTTAATGCACTCTTTTTTTTCATTTGTACAGGTATTTGAAAAAAATTGAGGAAATAGTCAAAATTAAAAAGGCTTAAGTAGTTAAAAAAACCCAAACAAACAAACAAAAAACCTAAGTAATGAAGCACCTTTTGGCATTTTCTTTTTCATTTCTAAGCAGTGTCATCCAATTCCACCAGCATGTTGTGATTTGTAATGTGTGTTCTAGATTCACTTTCATACTCTTTCAATAGTGTGTGTAGAATGTTTTGAATTTGCTTGCATCTTACAGTGACTCAGAACTTTGCAAAGGGACTTGCAAAGTGCAGAAGTACCTCAAAAGCAGCGATTACTGGGACACACACTTAAGACAGGATTTGTCTCACCTGGTTTTAGAAATCTACAGTGATGTCACCTAAGTTTATGTTAATATTTGAGAGAAACAAGTGCTGTTAAAACATGATTAATCTTAACTTTTTTAGACCTGAGAAGAGTAGCAGACAAATAAAAATACCATCAGTCTGGCATTGATAGCAATCATTAGTAGGGCTAGAAAATTTAAAACTATAACAGAGAGGTTTCTGAGCTAAGTGCATAAGTGATAGGACTTAGTATGATGTGGCACTCTAGACAGATCAACACTAGAAAGTGATTAGATACAGGAGGTTTAACAGGCAGCTGCACAGAAATGGTGATGAAAGGGAGGCAGAGATTCCAGGGTCTGAAAGTCTGACTAGCTTGCACAAATCTTTCACTCCTTATAGCCTCTGTCCAAAAGCAACTTCAGCAAATTCTTAACTTAATTCTCTCTTGCTGTCCTAGTTCCCCTTGTCAGTGCTGTATGTTTGATTCTCTTCCTCTAAATGCTGTCTTTCTTTGATTCTGATTTTGATTTCCTTTGGTAAGCAGTCATAATCTCTTCCTTATACCACTGTTCACACCCAGTTTTGTCTTCTTCTTGCCCTCCTAGACATTTGCTGTTCAAATAGTTTGAGAAATATGAGTAAATGGAGACTTAGATTGGGAAGTTCTAGTAAGCAATAAATGCAGGCAACAATTTTCTCTGTCTCTTTATGTCTCTCTATACCATAAATGAATCTTATCATAATTTATTGTAACCTTATAATCAAGTATACATTAATTTTTAAAAAAATAGTATTTCAAGGTACAAGTATTCTTTCTTTTAACACTGAGTAAAATTCAGATGCTGTCTTTTTCAGGAACAATTGAGACACAAAAAGAGATTTAACTTTGTGAAATTTAGTGCCCAAGCAGTGGCATGGCAAGAGAAACTTGCTGAAGTTAATGAGGAAAATTTGCAAGATGCTTGGCTTTGGATAAAAGGGCTTGAGGTAACATGGAAACTAATTATCACAAAGCGTGTTTATACAAAGTTGTATTTGTGTTTTCCCTTTCTGTATGGCTGGGGTATTTTTGCATTGACTATATATTTCACTTGAGTAAAATACGGATGATGTATAGACTTGAGCAGATGTGAGTACAACGTATTACCTGTGACAGGTATAATAATTTTTTATCAGTGTACCTGTTTATAAGACCATATTAATTCAACTCGCAGCCTGCTATCTTTAGTAGCCACAATGCAAACATTGGCCAATTTGATTGCTGTAGGAACCGTGACAGTGCTCAGACCCTGTGTCTAAATTTGCCACTCTTGCTGCAGGGCTGCTGCACAGATGAGGGCTGTCGCTGGCAGACGCACAGCTCAGTGGTGATACAGGGAACTGCTGCCAGCGAGCTGGAGGAGCGTTTCTAGTCCCTTTTTGTTGTGTAAAGACAGCTGACTTCAGCTTTCATAGGAATGTGAGTGCAACTACACTCAGACCAAACATCTGTCTGTCTACCCAATATTCTTTCTCCGACAGTGGTCAAAATCTGAGGCTTTTGCCTTGAAACAGAGTAGAAATGCTTGTAGTCAGTCACAGTCAGTCATCAGGCTGATTGTACCTGTCATTAGCTTTAGGACCAGTTAATGTGTCAAATGTAGACAGCAATGTTATGAATACAGGACTGAAAGTCATTCATACAACAGCACAGATATATCCCATGTTATGTTTTCTAACATTAAAAAAAGTTTATGTAATAAAACTCCTCAGCCTTATGATGGCTTTTCTCAAGACTTGATCATGAAATTCCTGGGGATGAGGGAATTGGAGAAGCTACATAGTGTCGCTGAGACTACAAAGCAGGATAAATAACGTGGTGTTCTCAGAAAATGCTAACAGACAAACACATGGAGAAAATAAAGTATTCATGTGGCCTCACTGAGTAGTTGGTGAATACTTACAACTGAGGTTAGTAAATTTACTTTTACTGCCTTCTTTGAGACTTGAAAAGTTGGCTCTGTTAAAGCCATACGTGTGGTACAGCATCATGCAAGTTTGATAATACTTTGAACTACACTAATTCAATACCATCTTGTATATGCATTTGAGAATGGCCTTTTTCATTATTATTCATGAAGTTGTGAATTGTTGATTACAAATTTCCTTCTAAGTTCAGATCTAGATATCTGAAATGGTACAGAGAATGCTGCAAGAGCAGTCTTTTTTTTTTTCGGAGATGACATCTGCTGATGATCTTTTAGTCTGTTTAAAGCAGTGCATGCGTAAGTCTGAGATCAGGAAGCTGGCTTTACAGTGAAGCTGAAATGAATAGAAGATTGCTCTGGAATATTAATCAGAGTAGATCTTTTGATCTCATTTCATACATTGTGGTCCCAGGATGTTGCATAAGGAAGCTGGGCTGTAAAAACTAACTAACTGTTCCTTAAGAATCCCTTAGAGATCATAACATTTAAAATCTTGGGGGTGATTATGCCATGTAGTTGAAGCATGTCCACTTTGTTTAAACACTGATAAAAACAGTGTTCATTTGTAACAACTGAGAAATCTAAAATTAACAACTTCTATGTAAGGTACTGTTGTGGTTTAACCCCAGTCAGCAACTAAGCACCACACAGCCACTTGCTTACCTCCCCCAGTGGGAAGGTGGAAGCAATTGAAGGAAAAGGTAAAAAAACTTGTAGACTGAGATAAGAACAGGTTAGTAATTAAAAATAAATGAAATAAAATAAGGATAATACTACAACAACTACTACAAATGATAATAATTTGTAATGAAAAAGCAATCATCAATAGCAAAAGTGATACAACCTCTCACCACCCGCTGACCAATGCCCAGCCAGTCTCCAAGCAGTGAGAGCCAGAGAGAGAAATCTCTCCTGACCGGCTGCCCCCAACTTAAATACTGAGCATGATGTTTTATGGCATGAAACATCCCTTTGGTCAGTTTGGGTCAGCTGTCCTGGCTGTGTCTCCTCCCAGCTAATTGTAGAGAAGAAGCTGGGAACATAGGTGCAGTATGAGAAACTGGTAAAGTCCTTAACTTAATGTGAGCACTGCTTGGCAACAATTACAAAACATTAGTATGTTGTCAATATTCTTCTCACCACAAATACAAAACTTAGTCTTGTACTAAAACCATCTGCGTGTTATCAGCCTTCTCAGTACAAGTCCAGAACAGCCTCATACTGGCTGCTGTGAAGAAAATTAACTATCCCAATCAAAACTTGCAGAGATACATAGTTATTTCCCTCACATCATCAGCATCCACATTATTTTCCCATGATATAGTGGAAGAAGTTGTTTTGTTTCAAATCAGATCAAAACTAGGTACCATTATTGAAAAGAGCCAGAATGGCCAATTTACATATAATAAGGAGTAAAGTTTAGTAACGTTCCTTACTAAAACGTTAGGAATATTAAATATATTTAACACAAAGAGAATGGTTTCGGCTAGTTACGTCTTATGAATGGGTACTGGTAAGGACTGGTTGTGAATTAGAAGATAGGATTATAAACTACCATCTGAGCTATCTTGCTGCCTGGCCCATACATTCTTACGCAGCCGTTCAGAGCCACTCTCAGGGTGTACCTCCTATTCCATTTCACCTGATTTGCTTACTATGCCGTTTCTAATAGAACTGCTTGCTGGAGGGATGGACTGAATGAAGATTTAACACAATGAGCAGGGCTGAAGAAATAATGCTGTCTTTTATCATGTTTTTGTATGTATGGGTCAATGTTAGTGGTTTATATTTACCTTCTGTAATGCATTATACATGTTGATCCTGAATCTCTTCTCACACCATTACTATCCTGGCTGCCCTCCAGAGTGGTACTCAGGTGTTATACTAGCATAGACCAGACTCATATCTTTTCAGGGATTTTACTTTGGATCCATTTAAAAACTAAGACTAAGACTTCATTAAACACTTTTCCATTCTGATAAAACCTTACTTTTGCCTTAAATTTGGAAAATTTTACACTGAATGTTTGAAAGCTGGAAATCTGAAGACATAAACTGTAATTTTTAGGTTCTTATAAGCCATGAAAAGCATTTTGCTGAGTTTAGAATTGCATTTAATCTAAAAAGAACAAAGACAGATCATGATCACTAAGTATGTGGATGACACAGGAAAAGAGCTAGTATTACTCAAATATGAATTTTAGGGGGGATATTATTGCTTTACTGTGTATTTTTCATTGTTATGGCTAATTTTTATGCAAAAGAAATGATGTTTGCATTGATGTGCTGACGGGGTAGATGTGAGGTAGTCTGAAAAAATAGTTCAGAAAACCGTGAAGTTCTTTAATTATTTTTGAGAAATAAAATTTTACAAATCTTTAGTGGACTTCTTGAATTATTTGATTAAGTAAAATATATATTTCAAGGGAGTGTTAAGAGTTGGCAATCAGAAGCAGCAGTGGGAAAATAGAATAGAACCTATCTTTTATCGTACATCTTCCAATCTTTTTATAGTCTTTTAGTGATTGCTTGTGCGTCTACAGCTCACATTTCCATTGCCAGCATTCTGCTTATGTGTGTTTGCATAAGCACTGAATACCAATTTTGTACCAATTTATGCTACTTTGATACTTGCTTGAGTTTTCTAGCTGTTTGACATAAGTATTTTCACAGTTTTATTACTCATTTCAGTTCAAGTATCCCTTGAATGAGTACACTGTCACTATTAAGAACAGAGTCAAAGAACAGTTAGTATTTATAGCTGTTTCCCTGTCTTTTTCTTTTTGGTTTCTTAGGCTGGAAGTTCCACAAATACGCTCAAAGCCCTCCAGATTGCTCTTGCTGATACTGACACTCAAGCTATTTACCTCTTGACTGATGGGAGACCTGACCAGGTAATTCTGAAATGAGGAAACAGGCAACACAGTAGTGTAGTGCTACAACGATAGTGTCAGAAGGCTGAGGAAAATATATGAGATGAATACCATACCTGCAGAGCTGAGTCTCTCAGAGGTTGTCATAATATCAAAAAATTGTGCCTGAGAAATGTCTGTTTGTGAAGGGATTTTGGTTAGAACTCTCCACTCACAGTCCAGTGTTTGGTACATGATAACTCATGACATTTCTCTTGAGTTGTTTAAAGGATCTGGGAATGGATTAAACAGTAATGCTTTATGTTACTATCAAGATTAGGATTTGTGTTAAATAAAACTTCCCTCTAGCTTAGTACAAATATATCATGAATTAAAAATATAAAAAATTATGATGGTCCCATGATATGATTGGTTTTAAATATTAAAACCCTGCAATATTGCGTGATGGCTTGAAAACCTAAGAAGAAAATTATTAATAGCAAAATTAAAAGAAAACCAACAAACCCAAGCTTGTCTTCAACATTTTTCCCCAAAGAACATATCAAATATTTGATATTTCACTCTCCACAGTGAAAATCAGCCCTTATGCTGAGAATGGCATTTAGAAAATACTTTATTTGTCCTTGAAAATTTAGTTTGGTTGTAATAGTAGATATTCAGTAAAAATCCTGACTTTTTACTTGAGTAAATAGCTAAGCTGAAGGTCACATGAAATCAATTACTGAAGCATATTCAACAAACCTAGGATTCAGAAAGCATTATAAACTTGCAGAAAGAATCTCTCTGTACGTTGATAAGGAAGAAAAATGCTAAAGGCCCACCTTTTGTTCTGTTTTTCTTAATAAAAAGAAAGTGACTCACAAGGTAGGGTGGGTATGTATGCATCACTTTTTAATATTGCTTTTACTTTTAATTTTAATCTTTGATATTTTCTAAAGACAAGCTGATTGTTACTGGCTATCACTCATTAAAACTTATCTTAAAAATGATTAAAATATTTGCATTTTTTCACACCATTGCTAGCTAGGAGAATATATTAATATTCTATTAAAGAATAATTTTGCTCAATGCACATTTATTCAGATTCTTCATTTTACCTAGTTAATAATGCCTTTTATGATTTATATTACACTTTTTCAGATGAAAAGGGGGAAATGACCAAGATTGCTTTTGACTATTAATGTGCAAGAAACAACTATATTGCAAATATCAGGAAAAAGCAACATTTATCAAGATTTATGACAGTATCTTGAACAACCAAAGTGTTATCAGAAATTAGAGAACAGAGTCAATAATTTCTTCCTACCAGATCTTTCAACATTTTTAAACATGGTAGATCTTTTACTTTCTCCTCTAATTTTTATATCTTTATTGGAGGAGGATCACTAGCTTTCCTATTTTCTCAGCCTTGATTTTGTTTACTGGTATTGATGAATGAATATTGTCATTGAACTAATTTAGCTTAATAAATGTATCAATGGTCATATACATCCAAAAATATTCAGTTATACACATCCTGTGATACTCTACAGCAATGTAGTAGTTTAATTTCCTATACTTTAGTAATTTCCTTTAAGACTTCAGAAACAAAGAGTACTGATTATATTATAATTTACATTTTATTTTATTGGAGTATCATTAATGCATTATCAGTGTTTCAAATTCAGTTTTAAATTAGTTAATTTTATATAATTAGGAAATAGCAATCCATAGAAAATGTATGCTTTTAACTGATATATATCTGTCTCTATGCAACAGTATGACTGAATAAATTCTTACAAATTCAACATATTTTGATAAATACATTACTAGATGCCACATGTTTAATAATTTTTTTTTTATTTTCAGCCCCCCCAGATAATATTGGCTCAAGTTCATCTTCATCGTAAAGTTCCCATCCATACGGTATCCTTCAACTGTGATGATGTAGAAGCTAATAAATTTTTGTATGAACTATCCACTGAAACAGAGGGACGATTTCATTATTACGACATTTATTTGACTGCTCCTGATGCTGCAGAGTTTATTGTTGTGAGTATCTGAAAATAAATGTCTATTTCTTCATGCTTTTGAAGGAACCACAGGGCTCACATTATTGTGATTTCATATTATAATAGGTTATTCAAAAAAAAGGGTTAACCCTAGTCAGATTTGTAATTATGTGAAAGCAATGAGTGTGACATTTTTTGCTTATGAAATTTTATGAGACCGCAACAAAAAAGCCCAAATGTTATGCAAAGTACATTTGTAGAGCTGCTGTCAAAAAAAAAACCAAAAACAAACCACCAAAACCCAACCAACCAACCAAAAAAAACCCCAAAAACCCAACAAAAAAAACCCAACCCAAACCCAAAAATCCAAACCTGAAAACCAATCCCCAAAAAACATACAGACCAAATTTAGCTCTGGAAGAAACTCGTGATCTCTGCTGTCCCAGAAATAAAGTAGTGTTTAAAACGAAGCTATGCTTTGTATCCTGCTAATGTAGAGCTGTATAGGAAGGATGATGAATGAATGAATTTTGCTAAAGGTTTCCTCTGCAATCGCCACTGGGGAGAGATCTCTAATGAGTAAAATTACTGGGGTAGCAGTGACCTATCTATTGTGACTTAAGCAGCTTAATCTAACAACCCCCAATAGGAAATTTCTGAATAACACAAACGTCCATTTAATGCATATTCTTGGTTTTTTAATTAAAGTTAACACTCAGTTAATTAGTTCCACAAATTTTAGAAAAGATGGTAGTGGAACATGAGATCAACCAGGAACAAGACAGTAACAGGAAATTTAGAATTTTGCAGACACTGCTTAGAAGGAAGATTTGAAAATACTCCTGAAAGATATCGGAGAGTGTACTGGGCAATTTTCGTGATTCTGATGATGTGGAATGTGTGAGATTGTGCATGTTGGAATGATGAGGGCCAGAGATGTGTTGTTCATCTCTATGTTTCTGGCCCTGTGGGAGTTGTACAGGGATCATCTTTGGAATTTCCTTCCTGTTTCCTCCTGTAGTCCAAATGATTCCCAGTCAATTCCAATGTTTTCTTCAAGAGTATGGTTTTTACTTCCCATTTTCCAAGGACAGTATCTGGTACAGCTGTGATCTGTAGAATGACAGGACAACAGTTGTAATGTGCATATATTGTATTTTATTTATTTACTTATTTATTTTGCTTGAGGGGAACAGGTTTAAATTGGAAGTGGGGAGGTTGAGATTGGACATCAGGAAGGAGTTCTTCATGGAGAGGGTGTTGAGGCACTGGAACAGGTTGCCCAGAGAAGCTGTGGATGCCCCGTCCCTGGAAGTGTTCAAGGCCAGGCTGGATGAGGCTTTGAGCAACCTGGTCTAGTGGAAGGTGTCCCTGCCCATGGCAGGGGGGGTGGGACTAGATGATCTTTTAGGTCCCTTCCAACCCAAACCAGTCTGTGATTCTATGACTCTATGAACCTACTGACATCTTTGCTTTATTCAGAAATATGACTGTTTGTATCTCAAGGGGTAAGTGGCTTGTTAGGGAATGCTTATCCTTTTCCTAAAAAGGAAGAATAATTTGAAAGGTTGTATTGCCAAGCACATTTTTATCTTGCTTTCTGTAAGCTTGTTCATATATAGAGAAAACAAAACAAACTTTAATTTAGAAAATAGAGAGACTACCTGAAAAAGTATACAAAGTTGTACAGCTGTCCTAACTGAGTCATTATTCAAAATTATTATCAGAGCTTATATAGTTTCAGTTCGTAAGCGAAACATGTTTAGGAGTAATTGTAGTAAAACATCTGATCTTCTTTTTGTTAGAAAAAAGACATTCATCTTTTGAAAAGAGAGATTGAACAAGGAGAAAGAGACCTAGAGAAAGTGAAGACCTTTTATGATGAATGTCTGATGATGGATTGCTATAATGGAGAAAATGATCCAGAGAATAAGTATGTCCTCATACTGCTATTATGTTAATACGAGATAGGAGCTATATCTGTTCCATGTCACCTTTTTCATTGTCTTGAGTTTTTAACCTTTGAAATTCTCTGGTTTTAAAAAGAAAGGTGGTTGGTTGGAGTTTTTTTTGGGGGGTGGGGGGTTTGTTTGTTTGTCTGTTTGTTTTTTTAAGAATTACAGTAATGGAAAAATGTGAAAAAACACACTAATACTGTGACGCTGATACAGCAACAAAATTATCTTAAGTATCTCAATAGTTTCAAAATATTAGGAATAGTTAAAGAAAAGAGGTGAAAATAATTTTCTGTCTCCAGCACATGGTAAAGTAGTTCCCTCTGACCTAGAGAATTAATGAAAAATCACTGTTCTGTTTGGTACAGCTGACTTGGTACTTCATGACTAAATTGCCACTCATTGGGATAATCTGATAGAAACATAAATTACATACAGATGTGTTTGTTTAAAAGATGGCAAACACCATGAATGAAATTCAGCTTACTTCTTTTCACGTTTTTGATTTTACAATGTGTGCTTATGTTCATGACATATTTATCCTTGCTTCTTATGAGAAGACAATTAATTTCTTCATTAAAAATAGTTTCATGTTCAGCATTAGTTGAAAAGCCTGTTGAAAATTTCATGGTGCCAAGAATGGTCAAAAAGAGGTCCTTCCACAGCATACTGAAGGCAGGCTCCTGAACCACTGTGGAATTTTTCTGCATATCTGATTATACTGAGCTTCTGTTTGGAGAACACACACAGGCTTAGCTTCAAACATGAAATGACTTGCAACCTCTATGGGAGCACTGCCTTAATAAAAGAATAGCTTGCCTGGTGCCTTATTGATCTGTGCAGAAATAGTACAAAAGCAAAAAAAACCCTAGATTTTTAAGCCAGAAATCTATTAAAAACAGTATGTTGAAATAAAGATATTAAAAATAAAGTAAGATAAATTAAAAGTGGAGGGTCCCATGGAACAATTTCATATGTCTGAAAGGCCAGATTGGATGCCCAGTGTCAAAACATAGGTAAATGTTTATTTCAGAATTTGCTTTTTTTTTTTTTTTAAATTAATGCTGGGAGGTAGTTATATACGTGTGTGTCAGTTACATATATATGTGCTTATATATATAAGTATAATGTGTGTGTAATGTGTGTATATATATGTATAATGTGTGTGTGTGTTTAATTTTAATTGCTGATGGTAGGTTTACTCTTTCCCCCAGGATGCAAAGTGGCCATTACAGAACATTCTCAGCTTATGAAAAACATACAAGGGTGTTGCCTTAAAAGTACAAACACCATTTAAATAGACTAAGAAACGACTTTTAGACAGTTTAAAAAGCAGAGAATATTTTAACTTGCCTTTGAAATGCAGACTAGGATAATAAATTATTTTGCACTGTAGGAAGCATTTGAAATGAGTATTTAAATTACCAGAAGAGTTCAGTTCAGTGGTTTTTAAACCAGTGATACATGTTTGAAGTAATTTTTTGCTTGTTTCTTTTTTTTTGTCACATACAAGTAGTCATCACAAGCAGACACATACTGTGTCTTCTGTAACGGAACATGTCGAAGAGCTGAGTAGTAGTACTCTTTGCAGTAGGCTGTGCTGTGCTTCAGAAGAGCCAGAACCCACACCACATCAGCAAACCTGGCAAACCACGGCTGACAGTCCAGCCCGAAGGAAGAAAGCATTATATGCAGGTAAAATGAACTCTAGTTGTTAGTGCAATTTAGTTACTCACTTGAAAAGTTTAGGTTGAAAATAGCAAAAAGCATCCCTCTTTGTAGGAACAAATGAAGCCTTTGGTGATTTAAATAACCATCTTTCTGAAATTCTAACTTCTCTTCACTTTTACGTTTCAGATATCTTACTCATTTGACCCAAACAGACAGACAAATATCTGCTCATTTATGCTTCATCACATGCTCTGTGATGAACAATTAACCATTTGGACAGAATGTTTTAGGATCTCTGGAAGCAGTCTTTTAATAGTAGATATGAAACCTTTATTTATTTTTAAGTAAGTAAAACACTGGTGAGAATGAAGAGCTGATCTATGTTGCACTAGTTACAGCATTACTTACACTTACATTTCTCCCTACTGCACCTGTAAAAATACATTTCTATTTGAAGTCTGAAACCAAGTTTAGCTGGCTGATGAGAAAGAAGTCTTCATCTTCAGGAAAGTACAAAGTACAGATTAGTGATGAACTAATTTTGTCTTTGAGATCTTGTGTAGGCAGTCCTTTAAAAATTGGGACTGCATACCAAAGAGGAACTGAAAAATCCTAGGCACCTATTTGAGCAGTAAGCTCTTCTTTTCTTTCCCTTTCGACACCTACAGAGCAAACAAAGACGAGTCTGCTGCGAATCCTGAGCCACAGTGTGAAATCTAGGGATGCAAGCCCAGAGGAAGGAATATCTCCTGAAAAAAAGAGGTTTTCTGTCAAAAAGAGTACGAAATGTACAACCATTTTCAAAGGCAAGTTGACAGAACTGGAAGCTCTGCGTGGGGCAGCTGATATTTCTCCTGCTGTTTGTAACTGATAGTGCCTCATTGGTGGCAAATGAGACAGACCTGAAGTGCAAAGGACCAGAAGGCAGCAGAGAGCTGGGCAGTTGGGAGGGTCTTGTAACCAGGTCCTTCCAGCAGTGGCTGCACTGCTGCCAGTGCCCAAGCTTTTCAGTTTACACCACCTTAGTTATGTTCACAGTACGCAGCAGCTGTGATACAGCTATGTCTTAGACTGCTAAAGGGATATCACAGTGGCTTCTTATCAATGGAATAAAAACATGCTCTCTGGGACAGACACATATGTAGAGACAGAGTCTTTCTAATGGGTCCTGGATATAGATCCAGATAGTTTTAATTTCTCTCAGTAATTTATACAACTAAACTTTATGATAGGTCCTCTAAGTTGTTCTAAAATTTCACGTATGATACTTAAAGATGTTTGACTTTTTTACATTTCAGCATCTTATTTTTAGTTCTTTATATACCTTTTTTACAGATTGTCATAGTGGTATGTCTTAAATTAACCACTCCTGGCCATCTCATTAGTGATAGTACGTGGCATCATATCTTGAATTGGGGAATAAACTGGTTAATCTTTCTTTTTGGGTTATAAGAAATAAATGCATACAAAGTTCAATTAAAAAAAAAGTTATTCTCCAACTATTTTATAAATTTCCTCATTGATGAATTAGGGCTCATCGAGCATATAGTAACACTGTTAGTATTGATCAAGCACCAAAAAACACAGGAAACATAATTCTCATTAGTTTAGCCATTGAAATAGACATTATTGTGTAGTCTTTGTGACATTACTAGTAGACTCAAATAAAAAAATGATGCTATTATATGTCAGCTTATTTATGTATGCTTTTGTGTGCACATAAACTGTGAGATAATGAAATGAAAATGTTTTATCTTAGATCTGAAAGTGCAGAAGGCTGTGGAAAGGATATCTAAAAGGTATGTGGGTGCATATATAGATACATCACAAAAATTATAGCTTATATTTTTCTTCAGCCATTTCAAACTTCTCAGATGTATTTCTACCTTGTGCTGCATCTTACAGTTCCTTTTTTTCTAGTTCTCTAGATATGTCTTCAGCTCTTTGGTTAAAGACTCATGGCTTGGTTGCCAGGCGACTCACCGTCATGGATGCCTTAGCTCCTACAGCTGTCCCTCATAGTACCAAATACATACCAGTTCTGGACAAGCATGTGGTTTCTAAAGTATTTGATGAGGTAAAACTCTTATGCTATTTCAAAGCAAACATAAAACTTGGTACTGTTTTCAAAAGGATTTTTTAATTAATTTCTATAAATATCATAATTGCATTCTCTAGTGTTCATTGTAGGTGGTTGATGTGCACTAATTGTTCACTCATGTAGCAGTAAGAAGATAAAACTGATAGCGAGTAGTATTTCTTGCAGACTTTACCCTTGAGTTTTAGAGCTATATATTTTTCTTTCACAGTTACCAGTTGATGGCAGTGTGCAGCCATCAGGTGTTCAGCAATTTCTTGAGCACCACAGCCTCTACTGATACGTATTAATTCACTAGAGTATGTATTCTAGGTCCATAATGACATCTGGGAAACTGTGCAGGTGTACAGTTTGTGGATTTGTACATTCTCAAGATTTACATTTGTCTGCCAGACCTTTTGAAAAGTATTGGAATTCAGTAATTAATACTTAATATTGACAGGTGCAGACAGTTGTGAGGTTCTGGGCGTGCAAAATACACAATGAATTGTGTATCATGAAGCACTAATTCACATTCTATTTAAAGGAAAGCCATTTTTTGGCAAGTTGCTCTAATTCTTCTTGTGTGATGCATCCTATGAAAGCCCTATGTTGCAACTCATTTTAACTAATAAAACCTCCCTAAACAATACTCAAAGAAAAGCTAAACAGCATCTGTTTAAATATTAGAGGGCAAGAAAGGGTTTTGTAATAGGATGTGGTAAAGAGCAACAGATGAACACATTTGTTGTACGTTTTAAAGTCTTCATGTTTGTTTTTTAAATTTAGGAATGGGAATTTTTGCTATAGCATGCAGACTGTGGAATCAAAATCGGATCCTCTGTTTTAGTAAAAGCAAGTCAAAACCAAGGTCTTTAAATGTGAGATTTTTTTTGTATGCAATAAAAAGGTGGCTTTTTGTATCAAAAGCATTAAAAATATGTATTTTAACATTACAGATATAGAATAGACATTTAAAAAAATCAGATATTCAATGACTGCAAAAGTGTACAAAACAATCTACTGTAAGTGAAATGTCAAACGAAAGAATTGTGACTTTCACATAACTCTTACGACTGGTTTCTGAGAAGTCTCTTCCCATCTTCTTCTAAATATGCCTACTGAGCATAGCTCTTTCTGCCATATTTCTAAATGAAGACTCCTTTGACTCCTTTCCAGACAATCCTGAGCTGCATTTGAACTTCTATTTGCAAAACCAGTAGTCTGTAAAACATAATGGTATGTGATTCAGCAAGTGATACACATACTTTTAAATGGTAGTTCATGGGAGCTTATGGTAGTCTAGTTCAGGGCTGAATTAAGTTCATTGTTCATAGAATCAATAGCTGCTGTGCAGTATCTAAGCAGTGATCCATGGGCTTCCTTTAGAGTCAGGGACATAAACACAAAATTGTATATAATTTTTACCACTTACCTGCAATCCCCATTAGTTGTATAGAGCCACCCAGTTTCTCAGGCAGTGGAAAATTATTGTTCTATATGTGGAGACAAGGATTTTTCTGTATCTGAAGCAGGGTAAAGAAAGGAAAACGAAGGTTAGGGGTTGCACACGAGGTGAAACCAGTAGAATTTATGAGCTATGGAACCCATTCTCCCTCAAAGCCTCATGCCAGCATACCAAGGAAGAGCAGAAAATAGGCTCTGGGACTAGACCTACAGCTTGAATAGCAGGCATTAACAAATTGATTAAGAATCTTGATTATTCCAGTACCTCAGAAGACTTTATTGAAGATAATAAATGTACAGACATTTCTACATTCTTCCTTCTGAGATCTTAAGTTTTTTTGGTGTGGAATGCAGGCATCCTTGTTCGTTTTTCTGGGGATAGTATTTTTATTTTTGGTCTCTGCTAGCAATGATGATGGAGTAACTATGAGCGGTTTTCTCACCTTGGAGATGCAGCAAGCAAAAGGTTTCCATGACAACTGTTCATTAACAAGAGGCTGACCTGTTGTTTTCAATTCTGTGTGACCTGTTAGTTTCACCTGTGTTCCTTCAAAGATTCATTAAACTACCTATCAGATTCATATCCAGAAACTAAAAAATTAGTAGTTTGTGGGCTTGTCTACATTATGCTGTGGCAGTTCTGGAGCAAACCTTCCCTACAGAACCACCTGAGTATCTGTTGAATATCGTGGCATCATAAATACAGCTTTGCAAGTCATGGAGTTCTGACTCAGCGCTTTGCTCCGAATCAAGTTCAGATTTAACCAACCAAACCGTCTTGTTTGGTCTAAAGTAAGGAAGATTTTTCTGGAGTTATTGGGTTTTGGTTTTGTCTTTAGATTTTTGAAATTTCAGTTTTGAAATAAAAGCCATTTTGGCACAAGTGAATTATTTTGATGTGAAAGTTTAAGTATTTAATTTAGAAAAATGACAAAACACTCTGGCACTAAAAAGCTTCCCTGTGATTTCTTTCATCTGAATCTGTCAAATTTCACTTGACTTCATGAGCAGTTTTCAGAGCTCTTAAAGTATGCATAATATTTCAAGTTAACTATTTGCTAAGAATGCATTCCATTCTGGTTTTATTCTTCGGCACTGCAATAATGTGTTTATGTTTGTCTGCCCCTCATATTCTATTCAAAGTGCTTTATAAACTGTATTAATTATTAATTTTGCATATGATGCTGTTCGTACTTGGAGTTACTCTGGGAATTTGTAAGGGAATGTAGGAGAGGGCTTCTACATGGTGAAGCCTGCTGAAATTTTACAAACTTTGTATGCGTAACAGCAGACAACAACCACGGCAGTATGGAAGTGGAGGACAGGTACTCTCAGTTTCTTGCCTTTCAGCTTTCAGACTCCACCTGGAAATGACAGGGAGCCAGATTTCATGGCTCACGGTTCTGGGCAGAGATTTACCTCACCTTTCTCCAGCAAGATACTTCACTGACATGTTCCCATTAACTTTAGCTTCTAAGTGATCATAAGATTAATTTAATATGAGGAGCTTTGATGTGGTCTGGCACTGATGTGACACAGATTTATTAATCAGAAAGAAGACATCCTCAGAAAGAGAGGGGAATATAAAGTCATGCCACGTCCTGAAAAAATGGTCATACAGCAGTGATTTGGAATCCAGCTAGGCTGTGATGATTCCAACACAAATAAAACATCACTGAAAAATGTTCTAAATTAAAGAAGTCTTTATATTGTTTTATTTTCTGCTTGCTTGCTTATTCCCCCAACAGGGGTTTTAATTTTATTTAAATTGAACCTCATCCATCTTTATGTCATCTATATCATGGTCTCACAGAGGCACTTGGAGAAGCTTCCCACTCAACCGTATGTATTGAAGACAGTTTTGGGGAGACTAAGATTCTCCATCTTCTCCATTTCTTTCTTGGATGTTTTTCTGTTTATAATCATCATCAGGACATTGATGTATAAAATAGCTTTTCTTATACAAACCGCTGAGTAATTTAAGAGGCTGAATAACAGTGGGACTTTGAACTGAAAGACAGAAGGAATCTTTGCTTCTGTCATGCTTTTTTACCCTTTTCTCTCCCTTTTGAAGATCTACTTGTAAATGTATGGCTTTCTATTTTATGATGAAGTTGACTTATGTAGATGCTGTACTGTGAGATCTGAAAAGTATTGAAGTTTCTGATTCGGACCAACCTGGTTAGGTTCCTAAGCATCACTGTGGTTAGTTAGGACTAGTTTCAGTGAGCAATATCCGCCTTGTTTACTCTTCAGTGATCAGTGTGATGGTGAAAAATGTCTCTCTCCACCTTAGTACTCTAACTCATTAGAAAATATGGTCCTCCAGAATAAGAGTACTAAATACACTTAAATAAGTAACTATCACACCTGTATGGTAGCATTAGGCACTAATAAGTATAAGATAGTGTTGTTTTAAAGCAATAAAATCTGGAATATGGTCATGATCTAGGCATGCTTTTCTCCTTCCTGATCTACCCTTCCATTATTAGAGTGACCTTTTCAACGGTACTGATTTAGTTAGAATTAACTAGTAATTAGGAATCTTAATTTGCAACTTCTGCATAAAGGGATTATATAATTTCAGAAGATTTTTACTGAAAGGCTGGAAACTATGTCTCAATTCTGACACTTACTTGGGGTGTTCAGATCTTTCTTTCTGCAGCCTTCCAGTGTTCCTTCTGTCTGTTCTGATTCTTGAACATGGACTCATGGGCATTCAGTTATTCTGGTGGGGGAAAAGTTGTATGAGAAATGAAGTCTTTGTCTTTTCTTGTATACTAGATATTACCCTTGGCCCATGTTAGCAACAAGAAGCGAATCACACTGATTAATCCTCAGGCGGTGAATCTTGATGTCTATAAAGAGAAGCTGGAACAAGCAATTAAATCCTATGAAAGGCAAGTCTACTCATCAGAAATTTATCATATCTGCAGTCTAATTTCAGATTTTTTCTTATGTAGTGGGTATTTGCTCACACGTACTTTGCTCAATACTGGTAATTCTGCACTCTGACACACTTTAATCCATCATCAACCTATTGGAAAAATGTTTATTTTCTTAAAAAGAATGAGTGAAAAAGAATGAAAAAAAACAGATGATAGGCAAGGAGATGATAAATAACATGTTGCTCATATTATGTTTGTTCAATGACAAAAAAAAAAAAAGAAAAATTTTTACTTTCTGGGAATAAACCTGAAAGCAATGTTCCTTGGGGAGGAATCCCCCCTAAGCATACAGTACTAGCCAGACTTTTAACTTACAATGAAGCTCCTAAATCTATAGACTGACATTGAAATTAGTGCCCTGCTTTTTGCTGCCATCTGTCTACCATCTAGCTATGGATGCAAGAGTGTAACTGAGACGTCTGTAAGATACTGACTTTTTTTTTAAGGAAGATATGCATTGTGCGTATTAATTAAATGTTGGTAAAAGCATGTCAGAAGTAAGCAGGACAAGGACATTATGTGTCTAAATTATTTCTTTCCTTGATCTAACTTCGTGCATTTTTTGAAGTAATGCAATTATTTGACTACTAATGTAATTCAGTAGTCTTATGAGAGCTTTAACTAGAATTGTTTTAATAAATGAGATAACTTTTCAGGCTGTATTCTAATAACATTTCCAGATGTAATTATTCTACACAACCAAAGAACCCTTGATGCCAAGTGTTTAGTCTTTGCTTTTTGGTGAATTGAACTGAGGCCCTTTAAGGTTTGGGGTTTTTTTTCCCTCTGTAGCTCTATGATCAAACCAGTTCTTTTTAAAGCATGTAATAGTTCTCTTTTTCATTCTCATTCCCTATTTCTAAAAGTATCCATATTTTGTGGTAAAAATCAAGAATTATGGTTTGCAAATGCTGTGTGCTATGTCTAATATTAATGGTATTCTGTGAAGAAATATCTGTTGGTTTTGTGTGCTCTGTCGCTGAGACAGTACTGTTATTATCAGGCTGATGAAGAACTCAGAAATTTGGATTTGTCACTCATTTTGATAGGAGTTCAAGTGGCATATTTTTGACGGTGACTTCTGAAAAAACATTCAGGTTTTTCATTGCTGTGTCACAGCAATGAATATTTTACGTTTATTGACTTGAATATTGTGGGAAGAAAAAGTATCTCCTGGTTAAACTCTGTTGATCTTCTACTGACAGAATTTTCACAGTCTCAATCAATTTTGGTGATTGGGAGTATGGTTTACTTATGTTTACCCATAGAGGTCAATGAATCAATGTATTTATAATAGTAGGATTGAGTTCCCTACTTCTGTGTAAAAGATTTATAGAAGAGAGATCTGTCTGAATATCCTTATAACTTACAGTGTAAAAAAGAGTTCTCGTTGCTTTTCCTCTACAGGTGAGACAGCAACCCAGTCAAATTTCTTTTGCTCTAAATGCCACAGCACTTTTCCAGTAATTGAATTTTGCAAAGGCTGTGGTTCAGTTTTGTGAATAGTGATTGGTCACAAATTTATTCTGACATCTACAGATGAAACAATACATAACAGAAGCAAGCATGACAATATCTTCCCTCTACATAGATTGACCTTCGCATCAGATTTAGAGGGATAAAAATGGCAAGGGCAGAAATCTTGTGCTCTGACAAAGAGAATATCCAGTGTTGAAGGAGAAAAATGCTGGAAGCTTCAGAATGTGTGTGATCTTGGATAGCCAGAGGCTTTTACAAATGAGTTAGTTATGAGTGTGCATATTTAGAAGTATGAAATAGGCAGTGGAGCATGCCGAGACTGCAGATTGTGAATGAACAAAAGTAATTCACGTTCTGAAAATGCTGGGGTTTAGTTTCTAGTAGATAAAATGAATCATCAAGAAATTAATATTCAAAATCTGGTGTTAATGAGCTTTTTTTTGTACATAGACCAGTAAATCTGTCAAGACTGTTAAAAGACTAATTGTTACAATCTGAAATTTTCCTATAAATTAATTTGTTCTTGCATTTCCAAAGGAAGTTTGGACATTCTTCTTTGAAACTCTTCTAGAATTACAGCAATTAGGATCATCAGTAGAGGTTTATTCCTATAGTATAAAATGAAGTAATTGAGTGATGGTTTAATTGTTTGAGATAATAGAGAAAACTGTAAGCTAGATGATCTAATAAGATTCTATAATTTATGTCTAAAAAGGAAAAGCAGAAAGTTTAGTGGTGCTTTTAAGAGACCTCAGAACTGCACTGCTTTGGGATAATCACTTCTGCTTTCCTGTCAGTAGTTTTTCTTCATAGCCAGAGTTCAGTGAAGTAGAAACCTGAATAACTGAGGGATTCTCTTAGCATGAAAAAAACCAACCAAACAAAAAAAAAACCTCCAAAAACCCAACCCCAAAAATAACGTTGCTCTCCATGTGTCTTCAGGCCACAATTTTCTGAAACTGTTTAACTGGAGGAACTGTGCTTAGCTTTTTAGTCATTTAATCAGTTTTGTTATTTATTTAGCTTGCTGCTGCCAAAGAGAACCATCCATAGAAAATCCTGACAGGAAGCAGCAGTGATTGCCATTAATCCTTCTATGACCCTGGAATAGTCACGTTGCTGCTTGATGGAAGATGCTGTTTTCCCATCTTCTCTTGTAGTTGATAATTTCATAGCTGAATGATAAGGACACAATCTGATGATACAGTGCTTCTGGAATACAAATCCATGCAGATATCTTAAGAAACTGTGCTTATTTGCTAGTGTTGAGATGATCAGATGCACAAGGAACTGCATTCCCTCAAAAACTGCCTTGCTTTCTTTTAACAGGCGCCTAAACCTAGTTATTTGGAGAGCACTCCCTCAGGAGGAAAGAGACAAGTAAGCTATCACCTTTTGGTGTTCTAACTCACCTCTGAAAGGCTGGTTGTAAATATTCGATCCTTTTTAGTCAGGCTTTCTGTAACCAACTGGTTTTATTTTCAAATATTTCATAACTATACCTTACTTTCATAAATGCATATGTGGTATGGAGTAATATTAAATTCTGGGGCTCCTTCTTGCAGTGCTGATTATTTTTAAAAGAAAGGAATTGTGTTCTATTGGAATGGTGCTGGTGTCTTAATCAGTGCCAGGTGGCATGGCCTTGGGAGGGCAGCATGTCTGTGCCTTTGGCATCAAGGTAAATCGTCTCTCATCTGGTAAAGAGCACTTCAGTTCCTGGTTTGTAAAGGCATAATAAGTGCCTGTAAAGCATGTGCTGGAGCTGTATATCACACTGGAGGTCTGTGCTACTTTAACTAGCTTGTTAGTGTATATTGAATTTAAAAAGTAGCGACTGTGTAAACAGGGCTGACATCAGTGAAGTTAGCATCTGTTCATTTCAGAAATATTCTAAGCAGAAAAATGGGAATGAAAAGTAGAATGCTTTTATGAAAACTTAAGCTACTGAGCAAAAATGACGCAGTTCTAGCCCCACTAAGGAGAACTAAAACCCCATTCTGGTGCAGAGAAGAAATGAAGGCTGTTAAACAAAAGAACAGGATATAATTTGAAAAAGGAACTAGATGTCTGTTAATAGTGAGTTATAGAGTATAGAAAATTGACAAGCTGGTGTCCAAGATATTTTATTATTGGTAACTTAGAGCCAATTATGTATATAAGGAAAAAATAAGTCCTAGAAATTGTACAGTCTGTTGCTAGAGGGGTGTATTAGAATTGTTAATATTGGTGCATAGAAATCTATTTATTTTCTAAATTTACAATTCAAATGATCATGTTCGTTTATTACAAAAGGATGACATACTTTCAAAATCATTAGTAATCTGAAGGGAGGAGGTAATGAAGTCTACTAACTTGGTCACAGGAGTCCTGAAATATTTGATTGATGAGCATTCTGGTTCACTAGTCTGTATTAAAAGGCTATCTCAGATATTAGGGAAATTCAGATTTACTGAAGAAGTGGTAATGTGCCGGTGTTCAAAATGGTTGAGACATCCAACTCAGCAGATAAATTAACTTGACACTGATTATAGATAAATAATTGACTTAGAGAACAAAATCTAGGTAAATAACTACACGTCAGTATGATTTCAATACAACGTTGTTCTAGAGGAGAAGAGAGATGAGCATTGACAAAGCCTAGGGCAACATGGTAGGTATCACCATGGTTGTATGTGTTTTTAAAATAGACACTTAAATACCCTCTTTGGACCCAGGTTTCACATTTTTTAAATGCTGGCAAAGCTGTAGCGAAGAGCCACAGGAATGATTTGAATACTAAAAAGAAGTATGTTACTTCTGATTGGAGATTTAAAGAATTGGTACCAGTTCTGGATTTGGGAGTTTAATTTAGTTTGAGTTTATTATCCAGATGACTGTACCTGATTGACCTTTCTATGCATAGGTACCTTCAGTGTGTAGGTTCAAAATGGCTCTTCAGTCCAGTGGACATTGAAGTAACTTGAACCATGGATGGAAGCAAACTCGATCACCAAGTGAAAATTGAGCAGTGCCGGAATGGCAGAGGAAGGAACAGCCAGAGATTGTATCTCTTTTTTTTTTTTTTTTTTAATGGGATCAGTCAAGACTGATGTGGTAAATCAGGGCTTCTAGGCATCAAGAGGCTTGCCACTCCACCCTAGCTGCTCCTCCAGAAGGGCCAGGAATTTCCATAATTTCTAAGTCATACCTGCAGGTTCTTTATTGATGCATCACATATTCCAGGTCATCTAAACTGGCACCAGATATCTGTGCTCAGCCACTTGAATTGCTCCATAGATGTCTTTCTATGAGACATGGTTAATCACAGATGTGATTATTTGTCTGAACACTACGGTAACTGGATGAAACACAGGAACTTGTGGTACACAGAAAATAGGTTGGGTGGCTCTGATGTTTTATTCTGCTTTTAAGCTTTGTGATTCTATTTGTAAAGTACTGCCAAAATGAATTTTTTTCCTACTTGTGATTACTAAGTTTTAAATTTTTTTTTTTTTAAGATTTGAAGAGGATGGGCCAGTTCAATATATGCAGCATAAAGAAACCTTGCTGGAAGCTTTAGAGAATTTGGGATGGCCAATTTCCTGTGAAGATGTGATATTGTTAGAGGATGAGATACTGACAGCATTAACATATATGCAACAAGCCTCTGATCTCCAGGAAGCTGTGAAAAAGGAAACGGAGAAAAGCTCAGAATCACACACAAGCAATAATAAAAAGGTAACAGATATTCCAGATATTCCTTTTAAGTATGTGCTTCTAGAATAATTTTGTTCTGTGGTAACAGCTGATAAATTAGGTGTTTAGCATGGAGAGAGGAAAGAAGGTGGTTAAAAAGAGAACAAGCTTTCGATGACTTTTTGGAAGTACTGGGGAAGCAGAAGTTCTGGAGCTGACAGAGCCACAGAAACCGAGCCTCTTAGAAACAAATTTGAGCAAAGTATCTTTACCTCCTCTGCAACGACAGCAGAGATACATATGAAAGAAGAAAAAGAAGTATGTGAAAGACAATTATGATACAAATTTGTGGTTGATTAATGTCTGCTAAACAAGAATAAAGATGTTATGATGTTGGAGTAATTCACTGTAATTTTCTGTGGTATCTTTCTTGTAAGAGAAAAGATGAAGAGATGAATCTAACAGATTTGTCAAGTACTGCTTCACTAGGAGTGCTGCTCCCTCTGCAGAACTGCTGTCTGGGTGCAGTTGTACTATGATAATATTAAAATAAGCTTTCTAGGAAATTAATAAGAAAGAAAATCTTCTCTCAGACCTCTAAGTTCTAATAAAGTTCATCATAAAGCTCATATATTAGTATATTCCTTCCCTTTTTCATTGTTTTATATCACTGAGAGAAACAGCTCTGACTGAACCTGAAGGTGGGGTTGGCCTCCTTGCAGTGAATGCTGAGGGATGTCTTATGCTTTCTATTATGTAGGAAACATAATAAGATGATCATAATAGTTCTTTTTTTTGCCTTGACCTATGCATGTATACATACACAAATACGTATGTATATACACATACATCAGTTTGGAGGGGTAAGCTAAATGAAACTCCAGTGAGCAGAGCACACACCTACACCGTGAGTTCTCCGCAATCAATGGGAATGTGCCGTTGGAATTTACAATTGTAAATTATGCCAAGTATCCAGATACTCCACCTAGCAGGTCATGCCTAGAAATGTGCCAGTATTCTTTACAAAGGCAACCTTGGTTTGATTTCGCATTCCTTGACTGAGATATACCTCTCCTAGGTATTTGTGTTAAACTGTAGAGAATATATTATGATAACACAGGCTGTGTATGAAAATGAATTATTATGGGCAGGACCACATTCAGTTTTCTGTAATCTTGGAGAATTTGCTCCACTAAGAATGTACATTTGAAAACATTGTAGTGCCTTCAAAAACAGATGATCTTGATTCATTTTACATTAGTCTGAAAATGTTACATTGCTCATACAGCTATTTTGATTATTGATTTACCTCTGCCATATAACATCCCAGTACAAGCGCAGCAGAAATGTGTCTGTGTTTCATTTGTTGATTGTAATTTTGCTGTTGCCTTGGAACAACCAATGTGTACTCTTAGACATGATGTGATTAACATTGTGCAATCACTTATCCTGAGTCAACCTGCTTTAGGAGCCTAATCAGAGCACCATATTCAGTAATTGCTAATCTGCAATTGAAAGGCTTTAGGAGTGAGAGGCAGAAATGCAGATGCAATTAGAGTTCTGTTTATATGGCAGAAAAAAATGGAAAAAAAACCCAGAAAAAACTGGGAAGCCTTTAAAAAATGCCGTTGGATGTTTTTCCAACTGTGGTTTCTGTCTATAAAATGGGTATTAAAAATAAACTGCCAGCAGACATACATTACAGCAATAGCTGATATGGCACTGAATGAAAATTGTCATTGTGAGAGTGTAGAAAACCCACAATTATCCTAGAGATCTACTCAACAAAGCAGACTTAAATTTCCTGCTAATTTTTTTTTTCCCCACTAAATTCAACATAAAACTCCTTAGTTTTTAGCTTTTCAGGGTTCCTAATTACCTTCACAACTTCTTAAAAGAATTAGTAATCCTTTTTGGATGTCCTTGCTACGGGAGCTTTCTGTTTAAGCCTACGACTGAATTAATGGTCTGGTTATCCTCCCTCTGTGCTCTGGCCTTCTCTGGGAGTTCAGGCTGCGATGTTTGCACATATCTGAAAGGTAGGGAATGCCAGTGCCTTATTGGAGAGGGATGAAGTAAGACATCCATCTGCACAGGGCTGTAAGATGACTGAAGATCTCTAGTGACAGAAGAAGTAAATGCTTTGGAAAATGAGCAAACACATTTAGTTATTATCAGGCAAAATATAAAACACTGTTGATTATTACCTAATTGTAAAATAAAATTATGTATTTTACTCAGCTTACCCAGTTCCTTTTGCTGTACAGATTAAAGCATGAGCTGATAAAAATCTTACTCTTCAGGCTGGTACTCAGCTTTTATCTAAAGATATTGAAATGAGGAATTGCTTGCTTTGACTCAAAATATTGTATCTGTCTCCTGGTTTTAACTTGTAAGGCATAACAGTCAACCATAATTTCTCAGTTGGTTTGTTTCCCCCCCCGACTGAATTATAAAGCTGTTTACAACATGATGTCACTTAGTAAAAGTACTTTTTCAGGTCCCCTACCCACCTCTTATTAGATCACCTCAGATCTAGTGGGGTCTTGGCATGTCTATTCTCCAAGCATGATAGCTTCCAGGACAGCTTGGTGCATTCTGTTAATGGCCATAACATTTTTTTTTCCTAAGTGTCACAACCTGGCTTTTGAGAGTGATGGAGAACAATTTCATCTCATACTGAGTATTTCTGTTTCTGGGTATGAATGGATTTCAGAATCTGCAGAGATAAAGCTGCATTCATTGTTAAGGATCCACTCTCATCAAAAGTACACTTTTAGAAGAACTGTGTTTCCCCTAGGATGAGCTCGAATGTGCAAGGCTTAACGCTTGTTTGTGACCTTGTTGAACAGTCACCGTGTGATAAAAATAACTTAAAATGGTTAATAAGCATAATGTGTTTTGGAAAGCATGTTTATTTGGGTGGAAAGGGACCTCTAGTGGTGCACTGAGTCTGTTATTTCTCAAAAATTTATTTCATATACAATTGATTTAATTATTCCTAATGAAATGTTCATAGCTGAGAATTCATTCTTCACAAGAATGAAAATTCTGGATCTCCCTTGGCAGATTCTTCTATTTCCTGGTGTCCTAATTCTTACACTCCTCATTCTTCCTGAGGCTTTAAGCATCATTAATGTGTTGATACCTTTTTTGCATTCATATGTTCCCTAACAGCTCGGCAAAACTTTGCCTTTGTTCTTGCCTCTCTTCAGGGAGACAAGGGAAAACAAGCATCCCCAGTAGTGCAATAACAAAAACGTTATAACCACCTAGAAATGTCTGGTCAAATTTTCCACTGTTGTCAGTGAAGTAACCTGCTGGACAGGCAGGGTGTAGCTACAAATTTTAGGCTTTTTCATAAAAATGGACTGTGGTCTACACAGAATGGGCTTGTTGCCACTGGCAGCCTGGGAAAAGCAATGGTTACTTGGCTCTGGAGTTGTCAGGATTGTGAAAATCGAAAGTTAGAGTCAAGGTACATGGAGATCTGTGGGTAGTCTTCCAATCTATTCTCACTTACAGTAGGAAAGTGCTAAAACTAAAATCTTTGAAAGGGAATTTTAAAACGCAGCAAGTGTTGGCAGGGGGAAAGAAAATCTCCTTCACCTCATGTGGTTTAAAGCATTACCCTCAATGGAAACAGAGCTGAACAGGGTGAAAATCTGTGAGAATCTGATGGGGCTCTTATGTAATAAAACCACTGGAGGATGCTATCCCAGAAACGGGCACTCTGACGGTGTCTGGACCTGTCGCGCTGGACACCTAAAGGCTCTGTGAGAGGTAGGGGAGATGGTTTTGAATTTAGACAGTAATTCTGAGCCACCTGAGCTCTGCAGGGCTCTGTGTCCTCATTGTGGATGCCTGTGCAGCCTTGAGTATTTGGATTAATTCAGAGTGCTGGAAGTTGCCCAAGTTATTAGTCAAGCATTACAAATTAGTTGATAATAAATATTCAGCAGCAGCTGTCCTTTTGGAGCCTGAGGAATTAAGTAAATGGTTTACCAAAATACCTTTTTGTGTCTGAGGAGCTGTAAGTCTTTGCACTCAAACCAGCCTTTGTTAGGCTGTACTTCAAGCAGTTAGTTAAGCACTGTGAAGAGCCTCTGGCTTAGGCTGAGTCTGAAAAACAGAAGTGTTGATTTATCTTTTATAGGGGTAAAGAATAAACTAGAAAAAAAATCCAAATATCTCCCATTTAAAATATCTCTGCTTTTTTGTGTGTGTGTTTTGCTTATTTTTAGTACTTCTTAAAGGGTTGTTTGTGATTTTTGAGTGGGAGATTGGAAAACAGAGTTTGTGATAGTTACAGTGAAACTGAGAAAAAACCAGTTTAGTCAAAGTTATTCCCATCTTTTCCATCATTATTTGTTGTTAGGGAAAATAGAGTATCAAAATCAAATATATATTTTTAGGAAGGAAACTGTTGTCTGACAAGGAAGCAGGTCATACACACCCTAGCAAGCAGGGGATTTTAGGAGTCTGGGAGTTATGGTTGTTAATCAGAACAGGGTGTAGATGTGTGGAAAAGTTTGAGATTTCAAGCCGTATGTTTTTGTGATTCAAGGGAGCTGCATAAGAGATTGATGCTTGCAAATTGTTTACGCGGTAGGATTATAAATAATGGGGAAACAACGATTTATTTAACTTGGCATGCTTATAATTTATATTTGGAAGCATTATTGCGAGCAGTATGGAGAAAATAATAGGCGTTTTAAAGAATTGTTGTAGTAAATACAAATTACATTGTTATTCTAGAAGATTATTAAAATGTACTTATAAAAATGGTGGGATTACAGACTTTTTAAAATTAGAAAGAAAATATTTTCTTATCATCATTTTTCTTAATTTTTTCCGAAAAGCGAAATATAAAGTGTTCCTTCCCATCCTGACATATTCACCCTGATCCTCTCAAAACTTCATGTAGAAGAGATGCCCTGAATGGGAAGAAATTCTTCCTTCTAGCAAAAAAGAGATTCAGGAACATGATTTACTTGAAAGGCAAATTGCACTAAGACTCCACAAAATGTTAATGTGAGCTGTGAAAGGCTTTAAGGTCAAAGAATACGGTGTCTGCAAAGTCAGGAACGCAGAAGCTCGGAAAGCCCGACAGTATATTTTTACATAGACCCACTTGTGGTTTGTAAGTCTGTGACTACTTTTCACATCCTGTGTTTCCCACAGCTCCCTGTCCCCGTTGTTGCGTGAGATCCATCGTGCTTAATGCATTCTTCATTGCAGTCACTGACTTCAACTAGGAGCTGAGTTGATCCACAGCCAGCCAACCCCATTGGTATTTCTGTTCTCACCGTCCGGTGTGTGGTCCCCCAGACACATTTGTGAGCAATTCAGTGATGAGCTCTGGTGTTCTTTGTGGCTGTGGTGCATTAGAGGATCTGTAGTCTGGGCAGCTGCCCCCTGAAGAGGAGAATTAGTGTATGAAGAACCCAGACTCGCAAGGCAGAACGATGGACAGTGGCAGCTCAGGAAAATATGTTTTAATATTTTGCTAAGCTGGAATGTTATAAAACTGCTGAAAATTTGGATTTTTAATTTATAGTTGTAAATAAACATTTTTTCCAGACACTTGAAGATTGGTTGTAAAAAATTATTGATCCTGTATTTGATTTTTCTAATCAGTCTTTCCATACAGTGAGTGACTTATAATGAAAATAGGGTAATTGTGAAGACCCACCTTTCTGGAAAGAATGGGTGTGTATAGCACCTTCACCTCTGTTCATGAGTGCTTCCTGTAACATTGCTTACTCTGTTTATAGCTATTCTAAATGTTTAAAATAATTTCAGTTTACTGTGAATTATCTGAAAAGGTCATATCAACACGTTGTCTAAATTTTTAATTAATTCCAAAGGATAGCTTGAGGCTGTTGTGGAAAAAATAATTGTATCAAATTACAGACACTCGAAGAAGAAACTGTGAAGTCAAAGTCTAAAACAAGACAAAAAGGCCAAGTATTTTTGACTCACAAAGGCCAAAAGGTGATTGCAAGGTCAGATGTCACAGGATTTTATTATTCAGGTAAATATTTTTGTCCACATTTTAAGCATTTTTAGAGTTTCTTAATACCGATAAAACATTAATTTTGGTCATAATTACCTACTGCTGCCTTAATCAGATTTAATATTTAATAAAAATTTAATTTATATCTTGTGTGTGCACGTATATACATTTATATAAAGATATATGTTTTGTGAAGTTAGAAAGCAATGTTACATTTATTATACAAGAAGTGTATGGAAGGAAATCTGTCTAAGTAACTGAGTATCCAAGAATGTAAATCTATCCCTCTTTGATGTTTCACTTGAATGTTTCTGTTGAGCATTTGGAAGAATTCAAGCTTTTGCCTGTGTTTGGAGAACTTCTGCCTCTTTGTTAAGATTTGAGCCAGAATGTTTACTAGGTAAAATTGTGTTCTGTTGTTTCATAAAAAAAATCATGTATGTGTTCATTTTTGTGTTACCTTTACTTGTTTATTTTTTAAATTACATATTTTAAACTGTGGTAATAGTTTCATTATGGCAACAACCATCCACCTGATCAGCTTATAAATTTCAGATCTGGGTGGGAAAATTATTCTTCGTTTTATTTTTTATGGGATTATTAAGAATGTTTAATAAGACCATATTTTTTTTTTTTTTAGGTACAGATTTCTCTATTGTCCTAGAACAGCTTACCCTAGCTAAGTGAAAATTAACAATGTACAGTATAGACACATCTGTCCTCAGTGATGTGTGGCAGCCTATAGGATTTTTAAAAAATTCCAAAAAGGTTTAAAGAAAAAATAATTTCAACCTTGTATTATGTTGCTCTTTAGGAACTGTGGTAAAGAATATCAGTTCTACCTGCGCACTTGTTGACTTCAGCAATGGGGAGACCTGGACTGTACCTGTGAAGTTCACGATCCCTGTGGGAGGTGCTATGCCATGCCCATATCTGCAGGTCAGAAATTGTATTTTTTTATGACAGCAAATATGCATTTTTAATTTTGTTCGTTTGGTCACGCATAGAATGAGGCATGTATTTTTTTAATCTTTTAATTACATCTATTTATTTAAAAGAAGAGTTTGTAGTGATAGCCTGTTCCTTTGTTTATTAGAAGTCTGTATTATTTTCTTTATAAAACATGACGATTTAGCCACCTACAGAAGAAAGGTGAGCTATTTACCAGCAGAATGATTGTTTCCTAGCATGTCAATTACAAATCAAGGAGGGCCTTGTATACACATTGCGACGTACAGCGGGTTATAACCATTTGTTTTTCACAGTGTATTTTAAATCCAGCAGATTATATTATACTAAGGAAAACAACAGTAATAAAAAAAATCATATTCCATTTCTGTTTGTATTTAAAATTTATCTGTAATTGTAGTTGTTTTTTCAGGTGATTCTTATTTTACACACAAGAGTGACGATGGATACAGAAAGGATGCAGAATGAATACAGCTGTTTTGTATACACAAAGCATTTTAAAAACCGTTCTGTTACAATTAGAGACATGCCTTTGTTTCCCTTGGAAATGAAGGCAAATCCTGATCAGGTAGTTCCTGATATTCTGTAAGGGGAGCATGCAATTCTAGAGAAGATCTGCAGAATGTTGTAGACAACTGTGACTTCCGTATTCATTTTTAAAATGATTTTATGTAAGTCAGGTACATACAGAATTCTCTAAAATGTTCAAGGTTGGTTTAAGAGCTTGCAAAGAACATACGAATTTGAAGTTGAAGTGGCTGAAGAGTTGCCAGAGTTTCCTCATTCTGTTTGACTTGCTAGTTGAGCTCTGGTACATTTAGAAGGGGTCTGTCCCTTAGTTTTGCTTTGTGTTCCTTCCTTATTTCAGTGGAAATCGTGAGTGACTGGTACATACAAGGAGCAAGTCCTTCCTCTTTTAAAGATCCATATTAAAGCACTGGAACATGTTAGAATGATGATTCATGTAATCTTTAACTTTTATGTCTTGTAAAACTCCCAAGTTACATGGTTCTTGCAAACCTCTGCTTTCCTGGTATGCAGGTTGGGGACTGTGTGTTTGCCAGAAACAGGACACAGAAGGAAAATGAATATTATGCACCTGCCATTGTCATAGCAACACCAAAGAGGGTGGAAATGGATGATAAACTCTACACAGTTCTGATGTTCAATAACAGGAAAGTAAGTAAACCTAGAAGACAATACCAATCTGGCAATGGTATTATCGTTGTTCCGCTTCTAATGAGGCAGATATAATTTTCCAGGCTAATGACCTCACTGTCCCAATCCCTGTCTCCAGCTAACCAAAGGAAATCAGATTTCAGGGCTCAGTGAAGAGCTCATATAATAGACATGAACCAAGAAATTTTGTAGGATAATTTATTCTTAAATCCTACTCTGTTATTTCCTGTATAATCCATTTGGGGGCTCTCACAAGCTCCATGCTGCTAAAATGAGAAACATAGCGGGTTTTATCACAGTCATTAGAGTCTTCAGTTAATTTCATTAGGTTTGTTTGTAAGCCATTATGATCCTTTTACTGCGTTTTTCATAGCGCATATTAAGAAAACATACTTTGTAGTTGAAACTTCTATCTTCAACATTTAGAGGCTGATTACAGTTACAATAAGACAGTTGGGTTTTTGTAGCTATGTATCTTCATTGTTTCTGAGATTTAGATTTAAATCAGATGATTGTATTATTGCAGGAACACTGTGTAAGAAGTAGGCTTATTAAAATCAGCCAAATGATGTATGCCTTTTCCTGTCAGTACATAAGAAAGGTGCAGACAATGGACTACATGACGTGAGTATACTTGAACCTAAAAATATGGAAGTTATTTTACATGAATCCTAAATGTGGCACTTCGGGTTCACCTGTGCAGTCAGGTTTCTGTATGTAGTACTCTAACTAGAGTTGTCATGTACTGGCTTGTTCTACACGTGCAACCAAGTGATTTGACCCACAAGCACGCCAGTCAGAAGAGTATTAACTACCATCTTATTATCTGGTGATTTATTGCTCTATTTTCAATTTGGAAACATTGGTGGGATGTGATGATTGGAAACTTAGCCCCAGGAAGCTGTTAGAGGATTGCTGAAAGGTGAGATGGAGTTTCTGTTTGTTGTAAACCTTATTCTTCTTTTAAGATATTTATTGTGATATAAATCTATGCATTAAATCACAAGTTATTTGTAAGATACTGAATCATCTACTGGGCTTAAATATGGGGAATGATGGGGAGAGAGTGTGTAGGATGAATGTGAGACCCTACTGAAGTTCTGAAGAACTTATGTACAGCAGGGGTAACATTTCTCTGGTGTGAAGAGTGTGCTGAAGTGGTTCCAGGTGATCGCGGATTACTTTTTTGCCTTGTATTAAGTTCTAGTTTAATCCATTTGAAATAGCATTGGGTTGTGATAACCTTCAGAGCACCAACAGTCTCTGACAGCTAGCAACAACAGGTCTTAGGAGGCAGAATAAGATCAGAACAATCATCTAGGGATATTTCTACAGAATACACTCCCAACCTCCAACAATCTGTGATTTAATGATTTTCTGAAGCAGAATTGGAGTCTCTGTATTAAACAGCCTTGATGGATTTTTCTTTCATGAATTTGTAAATTTTCTTTTTTGAACCCATGTAAACCCTTATCAATCTATCTTCTTCCCAGAAAGAGCTGCACAGTTTCACATTTTGTGTGAGAAAACATATACTTTTGTTTTGACTCTCCTATCTGCCTTCGCAACTCATAGGGATTCTAGACTGAAGAGTTACCTCTTCCATGTATGTCAGCAGATTATAGGCACTGCTGCTGCCAAAGGATTGTATGAGCTCCATTATGGGACATTTCTTCCCAAGAGGTGTCATGAACAGGACAAATTCCACTTTTAAAGGCAATTTTAGAAGTTCTTAATTTTTATTGCAATGTTCCAATGTGATGATCAGTGTTAAAGATTACATATAAAAATGATGAGCAAGGGTACCAGTTGTGGGCTGATCCATGCACTCCCTGAGAAGGATGGAATGAAAAAGCAACGCTGATTCAAGACCTGTTTCCCACACATTTTTTAGTAGTGATTCCAGTGCAGTTTGAAACTCGCACTTCTGCCACCTTGTAGCCACAGCACGTAGCCAAACGAGTACCCCGTTTTACTGTACGGAGTTCCAAGTCTGGAAATACATCAAAGCCCTTTTCCAGGCCAGATAACATACATGATGGTAGCCTCTTTTCACTGAAAAGTAAACCTGAAAGCCATGGTTTCCTACTTAACGCATACAACCAGTTGAAAAGAGGCAGGTATATAACTGATCTGAGTTCCAGCAGAATCAATGGAAGTCTTTCCCTTCCACTGAGTTGGATTATATTCTAAATAAGGTACTTTGTAAAGAAAAGATGTGAATAAATGCATAAGCAATGAGTGGTTTCCATTCTACATGCTTTGTTTCATGACTGAGTGCTTTAATATAAAATTTAATATTCATTCTCCAAACAGACTTTATTGGCAAGCTGACTTGCCGTTGTTATGTACAAAATTGACTTATTCACTGTCAAACAGAGGAATTCCTTGAAGAACTCACTGAAATGAATGCACTACATTTTTGCAAATGAGAAGTAAATGTACTCGTTAGATCTAAATCTTACATGAAGTGATATCAAATCTAGCAGATCTCTGGGTAAAATATTACATGAAACTGCATATTCAAGTAATATTAATTGTGATTTTCCATCTAGTGTTTACAGCTAATAAAGACTGGTTTGGTTGTAAATGCCCTGGCCAGTTGATTGCAGATTATTGAAATTAAATTAATGAAATCTAAATAAAACATTCCAAACAATACTGCTGCCACAGCACAAAATAATGGACTCTCAGTTAAGGCATTCACTTTATCCTCTTTAAACCAAACTAAACCAGTTTTTAGCGTGGCCTGGAACAGAGCACAGATGTTGCAAGCATAATGATTGAGTACACCAGTGTCTTGCAGTTGCTTTAGTATCTGAAGTTTTCACAGCATCGTTTCTGTTTTTTCTTCCAGCAGTCGTAGACTTGAGAAAGAAACCATCATAACTGAAAGTATTTTTTACTACAAAATGACTTTTTGAGGATAGCACAATTCAGATTGTTCTCAATTTACCCCATTAAAGGAACATGAGAAGAGCCTCCCATCAGTATTATTTCAAAAGCTATTATTTACATCTGATTGCTAATGTTTTAAAGATAACAAGGCCCAGATACAGAAAGGGACATTGTGGGACTCAGACAGTAACACCGGAGCGTTTGGCAGCTCTCAGGGTGGAATTTAGATGCTTTAGCTCCATGGATGTATGTTGAATGTCAAGATTTGTAGCTGAGATTGCAGTGAAATGTATAAAGCATCTAATACCAAATGACAAAGAAAGCCGAGCTTCTAAAACTGAGACTCAACTCAGATACCCACTTACAGCTCTGAACTAGTCATATTTGGACCTTGGGGATTCCCAGAGTTGGCAGTGTAGAGGTGTGCCAGTAAAGTCCTCGGTGATCTCTACTGGTCCCCAATCTTCCACAATTCTGCTGCCAGAATCACAGCACCTTCTTTTGCACATTCTCAGCTTCATCATCTACTGCAATATATTTCTTTCCATCTTTTTCCACATTATGTATCATATCTGGTTCTGCTGAATTTTTAGTCTCTTTTGTAAGAATTAACTATAGAATCCTGGTATTACAGAGCTTTTATAGTTACGAGTCTTTTAAGATTCCTACTTCTTGGATCTAGAACTCCCTACCATAAACTGCTTAGTAAGATTCGAATAGACAGTCCCTGGCAATGCACTTACTAATTCAGAATGTTTGTCTTTTGCTTGCAACGTTCCCAGCTGGGTTTTCAGTTCCCTGTAAAGCCACATACCTGTAAATCTCATTCCTTTCTTGCAGCTTAACATGTCACTTCAGTGTCATATGGACATAATGTCCTCTTCTGGGCACTGACTACATTAACTCAGTGGCTGCACCATAAAAAGCTGGTATTGGCCATGATTTTACTTTATATTTGTTTCCTTGTGTAACCGCCATGCCATGTTGAGCGATGGTTTTCCTTTTATGAGGGGGTGTACGTTCAAAGCCATTGAACAACTGTGTTTATTAGTTACACATTAATCAGTTACTAATATTAGCAATGCTATGGCAGTGCTTCAGCCCAGATTGAGTTGGAGTTTCCAGTAGAGCCCCTATGTTTATTTTACTTTATATTTGTTTCCTTGTGTAACCGCCATGCCATGTTGAGCGATGGTTTTCCTTTTATGAGGGGGTGTACGTTCAAAGCCATTGAACAACTGTGTTTATTAGTTACACATTAATCAGTTACTAATATTAGCAATGCTATGGCAGTGCTTCAGCCCAGATTGAGTTGGAGTTTCCAGTAGAGCCCCTATGTTTCAGG